TTTGCCAGAGAAGTAAATGCTGAAACTAGACAACATAATTCAAAGCAAATTTTCTGCAGCGACAAAGAGTTGGAAATAGTTGCTAAAAGAATAGAGGAAGTAGTTTCAGGGCAACAGTATACAGATTGGACCTATGAGAGCCTAACCAGGCTTTTTGCTCTGGAACTAGACAAAGTTCAGAGCAAACGAAAGGGGAAGCAAGGACATAGACCAAAAAGCTGGTGGGACAAAGAAGTGAAGCAAGCGATACAAAAACGTCAAGAAGCCTCTAGAGAACACAGGTATTCCAAGCGCAGTGGGGATTCAGAAACGGAAGTAAAGAGAAAATGGGACACTTTTATAACATGTCGCCGAGAGGCATCCAGTTTGATCAATGCGAAAATTCAGAGAAAGGGTGAGGAATGGATGAGTAATGTAAGCAAGAAAGATAGAAACGCAGCTAAGAAGTTTTGGGAGCACTTGAACTCACTCGGTGAAACGACGCAAGCTAGACAGAGGTTCATACTCTCGCATCAGGGAGATCAATTAGAGGGAGATGATGCGATACAATAAATAGGAGCAGTGATGGAGGAGAAATTTCGGGAGCGGGTACATGTGGAAGATAGGAGAACTAAAGGAAGTAGCAGTCCAGTTTGTGACATCGCGAATTTTGGACAACGAGAATGGGAAAAGGCGAAGAGTCTCTAGTGGCACGTCGACAGGCACAGATGGTATCCCAATCAAGCTGGTGAAGAATTTGGGTCCTAAATCTAATGCAAAACTAAGGGAGGTAGTGGGTACCATCATAACAAAAGGAAATATTCCAGATGAATGGAGGCTTAGTAGGATGAGTATGATATATAAGGGAAAGGGAGATAAGTCTGATATTAGGAATTGTCGTCCCATAACCGTGACACCGGTTATTTACAGGTTGGTAATGCAGATTATAAAGAAGAGACTGGAGGAATGGGTAGATTGCGAGGGCATACTGGGCGAGTTACAGAACGGGTTTCGGAAACAAAGAAGGTTGGAGGACAATTTATTTTCTCTGACACAGTGTATAGAAATAGCGCAAAAAGAAAACAGACAGCTCTGGCTGGCATTTCTGGATATCAAGGGTGCCTATGACAATGTGAACCAAAGGAATTTATGGGACATAATGGAGAGCTTAAACCTAGATGCAGGACTGACAGCACTATTAAGGAACATTTACAAAGATAACTAGGTGATTATAACATGGGAAGGAAAGGCGACAGGGAAAATAGAGATAAGACGAGGCCTTAGGCAGGGGTGCCCGTTATCGCCTTTGCTGTTTATGTTGTATCTGAGAGGATTGGAGGATAGACTAGAGAAGAGAGGGCTTGGATTCAACCTTTCTTACAGTAAGCTAGGCCGAAAAATTCAGCAATCCTTACCAGGATTGATGTATGCGGATGAGATCGTACTAATGGATAACAACAGAACAGAGTTGCAGGAATTAATGAGCATCTGTGGTAGGGAAGGAGAGGAATTAGGTTTAGAATTCAGTAGCGAAAAATCAGCAGTCATGATTTTTAACAAGGATGAAGTTGAGAGGCTGAAAATACAGAATATTACAGTTGAGAGAGCTAGTAAATACAAGTATCTAGGAGTATGGATATGTGACGGTGTTAGAGGCAACGAAAGTGCTGACTTGGCAGCCAAGAATGCACATCATCTTACGTCCAAACTGGTAATTCCATTTTCACGTTCAGACGCCAGAGCTACAACCAACCGCATTACTGCGGCTCTAGTAAACACCCTCTGGGCGAATCCGTTATATCACTACAGACACCTTCATAACATTGACCCCTTTCTTACCTTTCGCCCTCCCCGGGGGCTCAAACGTCGGACAGAAACCGCTCTTCACCGAATACGACTGAACGTGGCCTCAACAAAATATTATCTAAATCTCACCGGTCAGCTGGACTCCTCCATCTGCGAGAGCTGTGACGTCGTAGAAACGCTGGAACACGTTATTTGTCACTGCGCCCTCTACGCTGACCAAAGAAAGGAAATGAGAAGCTCCCTGACTCTTCAGAACGGGGAACCGCTCACGCTCAATCATCTCCTGGGGCCATGGCCATCAACATTGCAAGGAGTCAAGCCGACGAGCTCATTGATTCGTTTTCTCCAAACGACTCAACTTGATAAAATACTGTAGGACACCCTCCAAAAGTAACTGACAGCCATCCTCAAAGTTTTCTTTCTTTCCTTTTCTTTCTTTGTCTTTTTTGCCCCTTTCTCCCTTTCCCATGTATGAAGTAGCAATCCTGCAAATTCCCGCGGGATAACCTCTTCATCTTTCCAATAAACATGTTTTCTCTCTCTCTCTCTCAGTGAGCATGAAAAGTATATAATAGGTAAGGGCAACAGAAATGCAGCTGTAATGAAAAATAGAGCGCGTTGGAATTACAACAGGTATGAGGTGGTGAGAGAGATTTGGAAAGGGGTCATGGTGCCTGGCTTGACTTTTGGAAACGCAGTGCTATGCATGAAATCCGAAGTGCATGCGAGACTAGAAATAAAACAGCGCGGTGTAGGTAGACTGGCTTTGGGGGCACATTGCAAAACGCCAAACCAGGGAGTACAAGGAGACATGAAATGGGCGTCATTTGAAAGCAGGGAAGTGGTGAGCAAGATAGAATTTGAGGATCGGTTGAGGCAAATGGATGGGGAGCAATGGGCACGAAAGGTTTTCAGCTGTTTATACATGAGGAGTGTAGACACAAAGTGGAGACAGCGCACTAGGAAATTAAGAGGAAAGTTTTTGGGCTATAGCGAAGATACGGAAGAGCAAGACTCAGTTAAGAAGAAAGCTAAGGCCACAGAAAGAGATCGGTGGCTAGAGGGAATGCAGACAAAGACTGCTCTGGAAAGCTATAGATTAAACAAAACAGTTATTGCCAAAGAAAGCATGTATGACAATTCTAGGCGAAGCTCATTGTTGTTTGAGGCGAGGACGGGTGTTCTGCAAACCAGAACATACAGAGTGAAGTACCAGGAAATGGATACAGTGTGCACTGCTTGTGGAGAGGAGGACGAGACGGCTGAGCACTTGATACTCTACTGTAAAGGGCTTCACCCCAGGGATGGGCAAAATACATGCAAATATGTATCGAAATACAAATACAAAATACTTCGTCAAAAATGTATTTATTACAAATCGATTTACATTTCCAAAAAAGCATTTAAATAAAAGATACAAATACAGCCAAATGTATTTTGTCTCCTCCAAATACTTTTCCAAATACATTCCTCAAAATTTGCGTCAGCGACTTCAGGGCACCTGCAACGGGTTTCTGGGTATCTCATTTTAATTTTGCATCGCACACTCGGGAGTTAGTGTGCGTGGCGCTAGTAACGTGATAAAAATATAATCACAAAAAAATGTAATCAGCTTGGACGTAATAGGTGAAAAAAGTAAAGAGCTTCAAGCAGCTTTTTTTGTCGGTTACCTTTTGGTATAGACCAACAAAGAACCGAGACGACCAAGACGCGCAGCACTAGCTAGATATTTTTTTATTGTTGCAACTCGCATCAGTTACGAAAATCTTGATGACCCGCGCATTTAGAATGTTCCAGACAAAATTATCAATGGAAATCAGGCTGGAAAGCATCACAAGTTGTCACAGGCACTTATTTAGCCACTCTGCCTGTGAACGTCGATTTCGTCACTATTCTTGCCCTGGACTAGCACCGTAATCGCAAAGTCACTAAACGCTTGTACTTGATTGAGAGACACTGCATTCGGTGCAGAGCGTAGTTTTCTCACTGCTCTGGACAGTGACAATAAATTTGAGAAATGTATTTTCGCTCACAAAATTATATTTAATTACAATTGTATTTGAAATATCCACGTTTTAGTATTTAAATACACACGTCAAATACATTACCCAATTTGTAATTAAATACAAATGCAAAATACACAAAGTATTTAAAATACGTATTTCAAATACTTGTATTTGAAATACTACCCATCCCTGCTTCACCCTATGCCTACCGAAGACAACATAGATTTAATAAAGTCATTTAGAGACAGCGAAGGGAGAGTGGATTTCAAGACTGTAGAGATTACCAAGGAAAGATTAAGAGAATGGTGGCAGAAATCGAGAGAAAACTAGGTATTTTCTTATTCACTGATGGCAGGTGGGTTTCATAGCCTCACTTTCTTTGCACTGCGGAGTAAATATAGATTTCACATTTAAATATTCTAAGCTTGTCGTCGTCGTCGTCGTCGAAGACGACGACAAAGAATGGCCGCTCCTTGGCGTTTCGGGGAGGAAGAGCTACGAAGAAGCTTTTACGCGGTCTCGTCCCCCGGCGACGTTGAGGAGCAGCGCGTCAACCGGTGTCCTGTAAAGGCGCGTTCACACTCTTGCAACCGAGTACGACCGAGAAAGACTTCTTGAGACCGGATGCGCTGAGCGGAGCTGGTCCTAAGAGATCGCAAGAGGCTTAAAAACCGGTTTGGTCTCTCTCGGTCGTACTCGGTTGCAAGAGTGTGAACGGGCCTTTAGTCTCACCAGAAGACTATGCCTGAGAGTGGCAGCCGTCTACCAAGACTGGGCCACATCCCGTAGCATGGTAACACCACCAATCTGCTGGGGCTTCCCAGCCCCTACGCACGGTGAAGCCACCGAACACCACTCTGGACGGCTTGCCCGGACACTTTCCCGGGTTCAGCCATACTTGAGACCAGTTGAAAGAAAAACGTCCCAGCGAGCAAACGACATTGGACCCACATCACCCGTAACATCATCCCGCCACCCCCGCCGACAAGCTCCATCTCAACATCGTCAGCACCTCTCTGTCATCTGTACACAATCTCATCCCATCGTCCTTAGATGCGGCGCCGCAGGCCTTCCTGGTATGGGCTACTTGCCTTTCTGCGGCACCGCGGTTCTCCTGAACCAAAATAAGGTGGCGTAAGCTACCGCCCAATCCAATGGGCTCAGCCGTATTCATTTATCCATCCATCTATTCATCCATCCAAAATGGCTAGGTGGCATAAGCTACCGCCCGATCCAAAGGGCTCAGCCGCATTCATCCATACATCCATCCTTTGCTAGGACAGTAGGTCGTTGCCGCATGGATGGATGGATGGATGGATGAATACGGCTGAGCCCTTTGGATCGGGCGCACCGCCGCGCCACCAGCGCCGCCAGACGGCTCTGCAGCCGGTGCCTACATCCAGTTACTACCAGCTACATCGGTCGACATGTGCTCATCGACCGGGTCAGTGGTAATGTGGACCTGTGCAAACAATTAAACTTTTTTCTTGGCAGCGAAACTTTAAAAGATCCAATAATGGTGCTGTGGCGGTTACGTCGGGCGGTTGGTACAGGACGGCTGCTCCAACGCCGAGTGATCAACGGCGAAGAGCGGACGACCCAGGTAACTCAGTCGGTGCTCCGAAGGCCCCCGCAGTGGCGATCATTTCTGAAATGCCGACTGTGAGGAGGGAATGTGGGCCACATCGAGATTTCCGTGGTGTAGGCAGTCTACGCCGCGTGCATCACTCCCTGAAATATCCGCATTGATCTTGAGCCGACGTCCTTCCGAGGACACGACGGAGGCTGCTTCGGTCGCGACCACACTCCTTGCCCGGGCTTCACATGCGTCTCACTTCGATCTCACAAACCCTCCCAGATTGATTCGATCTGTTTTTGCAGGCCTCAGCCGCCGGGTTTGCGTCATCGACAAAGACGGTGAGTGAGCCTCCAGTTGAATTCGCTTCTTTCTCCTCTGAGCATCACACTACCCAGGGCAGACGGAGCGTTGAAAAGAATTTCTGCTTCGACCATGTAGTCAGTCTGAACTCATCGGCGATCTTTCCTACATAACGCACATTCGGTGGAATGACGCAATTGAGCACATTCCACCATTTAAGGTCACCTTTTTCAACATACGTAAGAAGCCAGCGGTCATAATAATTCGACTAAAGTACAGAATGTGATGCCCCTTTGGGCGATCCGCCAAAATCGGTTTCTCAACGTATCGCGCTAAGATTTACTACAGAGGTGCGGCTAGGTGGTGCACCCGGGGAGTGAGAATATCAACGCGTGAGCTTACCTTGTTCAAAAAAAGAAAATCCGTTTCGGTCTATCTGCCGCGGCATTCGCAGACGACGTCGTGACCGGGCTCGCCTCGTTAAATCTGCCACCGACAGATGCCGGGAGCGCCGAGCGCGCCAGCATGGTGACAGGTTTCCGAAGATAGTCTGCTAAGCTCGACGCACTGGACGCTTCCAATGTCTATCGGCGGCAGGTTTAACTAGGCAAGCCTGGTCAGGACATCGTCTGCGAAAGCCAAAACAGGCAGCCCGAAACAGGTTTGTTTTTTTCCTTTTTCTACGAGATAAGTTTTTCCTTTGATATTTTTACTTTATGCATGCACCACCTAGCAGCACCTCCGTAGTAATTCCCAGCACGGTACGTTGAGAAACCAAATTTTGCGGACTCTCCGAAGTGGGATCGAAGCGTTAGTGCTGTACAAGGAATGCAACTCTATATTGGTGCCTCAGCCCAAAACAAGAAAGCTGCCTGGCCTGAAGTCGCTTTGCTTTCCTTGCAAAGCAATTGCTTTCCCACGAGCGAAGCTTGTTGGCTTTTTCCGATTTCCCAACCGAGCACTCGTCGACTTGTGCATCTGAAGCTCTCTTTTTTGCAGGAGCATAAAGAGGTTGAAGACATGCGCAACATTGGGATCTCTGCACACATTGACTCCGGCAAGACGACCCTGACTGAGCGACTGCTCTTTTATACCGGGAGGATCGATCAGATGCATGAGGTGAGCGCCCAGTCTCCAGAGGACAAGGCCTTGGCTATCGGAATGGCTCGTGAAACCGCCATTCGTAATCGTGAAGTCTAAAACAGTTGCGGATGGATCTCGTTAAATTGTTGCTGTACACAGTGGCCACATAATCGATTCCTTGGGACAACCGCATCTATGCCGTCAATATCCGCGCCAGATATACAAACTATCTGGCTTTTCGTGATATTTTACTCGCTTTTTGTTGGCTGTTCTATGAAACACTGCCGTGTTTGATAAAAAAAATATGCGGGGTTTGGTCGCAGAAAAGCACGATGCAGTGGATTTTTTTGAACGAGCTGCGTAGGCCTGCAGATTGGTCGGACTAATAATAGCAGTCAAAGAAAAGAAAAAGGATGCTTACTACATTGACCGTAGGGTACCGTAGTCAACACGTGTAGCAGTGACAAGCGAGCTGCAGTGCAATTTGTGAGCTATGTTCATTGATACTGGGCAAAAATAAAGTGCCCCTCAGTGGGCCCGTGAAAATTAGCATTGGGCCAGGCCAGGGTTGGCCGGCTGTCAGATATTAATAACGGGACGCGGGCGGCCCGGTCTCAAGAGACAGCGAGCCCAGCTGGGCTGGGCTCCTAGATATCGTCCCGTGCACACCTCTAGCCAGAGTATAGCCATCCTTTTGCCATCAACTCCTCTTCGGCAAAGAAGGAGTCACACGCGGCAAATTTTACTTTTGCGCTTGCGGGGAAGCCTCTTTGCAGAGCGCCGGGGTTGGGGCGGGACACATGTTTCGCTTTGCACTTGGGAAATGTAGATCTTGCACTAAAGTATGACAAGCTGGAAGCTTCTTGCATCTTCAGACATTGTGTGTGCCACTTATATATGCGTGAATGCATTTTTTTTATAACGCGAGGGCAGTTTCAAAATGGCCGTGAGGGAGCAGATGGCTCTCGGAAGTGTGCATGTGCGCGCTTCCGAGAGATATGGGGGATGTACGACGGTGCATGTGCGGCAAACCCGTTGCGCCCGTCGCCTCTTCTACAAGAGCATTGTTCCCCTCCTCCCACAATATTTTGAGTAAAAAATTTGAGACCGTCGCGATAGTCTGCCTCGCAAGCGTTGCATATCTCTATAAATCCCTGTTAAAGGAGAGGGTCCTCTGGTTAGAAGTCCCTGGAGGAGGACGGGGGAGGGCCCCTTGTGGGAGGGCATGCGACGGGCGTTTGAGTGCCCCCCGTCCGCACCCAGGTGAAGGGCAAAGACCTGGTGGGGGCAGTGATGGACTCGATGGAGCTGGAGCGGCAGCGAGGCATCACAATCCAGTCGGCAGCCACCCAGGTGTCGTGGGGCCGCACGGCCATCAACATCATCGACACGCCCGGCCACGTGGACTTCACCGTGGAGGTGGAGCGCGCTCTACGCGTGCTGGACGGGGCGGTGCTCGTGCTGTGCGCCGTGGGAGGGGTGCAGTCGCAGACCCTCACTGTGTGCCGCCAGATGAAGCGCTACTCCGTGCCTTGCATCGCCTTCATCAACAAGCTCGACAGGACCGGTTCCAACCCGCTCAGGGTCCTCTCGCAGCTCAGGTGACGCTCTCGTTTACTCTCTCGCTTTGCGACGGATCGTTACCATCGTCCCTTGGCCATGCGCCCCGTCCTCGAGTCGCGTGGCACTCTCGCTGCACTGGATCGGCTTGATTGGCTCATAGCCTACTCTGTGGTTCGTCGTAATATGAAACTGAGCGCAGTGGTAGAACAGGGGCAGGTGTGTGCAAGGTGCTAGAACAGAGCTGCGCAAAACAAGAGGTAGCTGTAAGCGTGTACATCCGCCGACAATATAAAGGTGAACACCTTACCTGGTTTCTTGCCTGTTTTATGGCTCCCTAAAGCTATATTAACTCTCAACGTCTCAAATGGTACGTGGCTTGGGGTCTAAACTTTGCGTTCTAGCCCTCTTCTGGAACAGAGCTTGTTCCAAAACTTGCAGGAGCGTCAAAAACAAGAAGAGGGCTGTTCACCTTCATATCGCTCACGGGTGTACACGATTAAATGCATTTGAATGCAAAGGTGCAAGCGAGCTGGACAAGAATGACGAAAATGATCCCTGGAGGAGGGGAACAAGAGGGACAAAGGACAAACACAGCTAGGTGACCGGTGCGCGACCGAAAAGATCTGCCTGGTCCCAGCTTAGAGTCGCCAGTCCCCTATTGTAAAACTGTCAGACTGACGCCTGGTCCCAGCTTGTGCATTGGGTTAAGGCCACTGGCATCATATCTGGTGGCTGCTAGGCCATTCTCTAAATGCCTGTAGCAATCCGAGCGGGTCTGTGGCGTCTAAAAGGCTCGCTCTAACGAACCCCTTGCTTAATGGGTAGAGTCAAGCAGGTGTTTGTTGATGCACATGATGCAGATAGAACCTTGACTTTTCTATTCTTCTGTTACATCTCCGGTAGTGGCCAGGATTACGCCTTCACTAACTATAGCAGGAAACTTGGACAAGTCGCTCGGTGACTTGGCCCACGAGCATCAATCCAAATGTACCGGAAGAGTACTACTATTTCAGTTTGACTGGTTTTGCCACGTTGCATCACATATTGAAGTCATTAAATTGTCGTATCCTTGTTGTGCCAGCATCTTGGCCGTTACCACTGAGGACCCTCTCTAGGACATCTTGGTTCCCAACTCCAGTCCCTAAATACCATCCCGGAATCTTTGTCCCGGGTTTGCATTGTCCTGTTCACCCCGTGAGGCGTCCTGAACCGTGGCCTGCATGTCCCTGTAGGTCCAAGCTGCACTACAATGCGGCGCTGCTGCAGCTTCCCATTGGGCTGGAAGGGAACCACAAGGGGGTCGTCGACCTCATCCACCGCAGGGCGGTCTACTTCCTGGGCGAGCACGGGTCTGGATCTCCTCACTTCTTCGGCTGCATGTTGTGGGATTTCCCTCGCTGCTACCCGTCTCGGAGAATGACACAGCACACCGGTTCAACAACACGTAAACATTTAATGACCGCTATCGCCTGCGCCGCAATCCCAACAGCCCCCGCGCATCCGCTGCGACGGCCTTTTATCAGCGGCGGAGCGCCGCTCGCGTGGCCAGTTGCCCTTGGCCCCCTCGTGGTCAAGATGACCACTTATGATTGTCGGAGGGGCAGCGAGGGCCAACCGCTAGGAATCGCCAGGTTGCCCACAATGTTAACGGCTGTACCCTCTATAGACATATTTTGTTTCGTTCACAGCCACGTGGAGTCTGTATCCGGTAGGCTGGACGAAAAAAATAATGAGACATTTTAGCCGGCAATATGCGAGAAAATATAGGTGAGGCAAAACAAGAATGTGTGAGAATCGCACATTTTGTCGTGAACACCTTCCAGCGGCGCCGAGATATCAAAACAATGTTCTAACGCATACCAGAAGTGACGACATTCAAGATGGCTGCACCCTTGCGGAAAAAGGTCTATGACATACTTGCATACTAAAACATACAATCTTTAATGCAGAATGTGTTTTATCAACTGATTTTCACGGAGCTCTCTAACGTCTGGTTGTAACGAAAAACTGGCATTGAAAGATGTTATGCCCAAAGGGAACCATGTAAAGAGAGTCCCCCGGCAGGATTGGAAGTCATCCACTTGAGATTGCGAGCCAAGTGCTTTGTCAACCGAGCTGTATCTCTGTTGAGCGGCGCCATTCAGGCTCTCTTTTCTTGTGGCTCAGATTCTGCCAAATCTTTGTCAGCACGATTGAGCCTGTATACCTTATTGTTTTTTTTTCCTTTGCCCTTTTAAGTTGGCAGTCAGGGTCTTGAGAAGACTGCAGGTTGAGCAAAGCCTCTTTCCACTTGAGCAGAGAGAGAGGCGAGTGGACTCAGCTCCTCTCTGGCCTCCTCTTCAGCGTTCCAAGGTTTTGCCTTCCCCCCGCTCACTTTCCCACCTCTGCTGTAGGCACCATCTAAAAATGAACCCTTCCGGCAACTTTTCTCTTACTGCCTCAACAAATATGATATTGGCAGGACAAGAAAATGTAGCAGACGTTTACTATAACTTGCACCGAGGAAACAATGAAAATCATTGCTGTCTGCAGTGAAGCTGAATATGGGGGAAAGCGTTAAAGGGGCACTGAACCACTTCCTGCAATATAGTTTATTAATGGTTATTATTTAAGGAATGGGCTCTAAGCATCCTAAAGAACCAAACTTTACATTCATGCACGGCCAATTTCTCTCTCTTCAAATTGGTATCAAAACAATTGCGGTGGCTTACAGACTTGGCTACTGCGCAACGGAGACGCACAGCTGGGCACGCGGCGGCTATGACGTCACTCCTCTGGAATGCGCAGACCGGCGAGGCAAGCGCGGCGGCTCCGTCGCGCCAGCTGTTCGCCATGTGACGTCACTGCTCCTTGCGCATGCGCAGCACGGCTCTTTAGGAGCCAGGCGAAACTGCTCAACCTCGGCCAGTGTGGTACAAAAGATGGACACCAGATGGCGCACTGGGAGAGGCGAGGACGGGTGTTCTGCGAACCAGAACATACAGAGTGAAGTACCAGGAAATGGATACAGTGTGCACTGCTTGTGGAGAGGAGGACGAGACGGCTGAGCACTTGATACTCTACTGTAAAGGGCTTCACCCTATGCCTAGCGAAGGCAACATAGATTTAATAAAGTCATTGGGTTTTAGAGACAGCGAAGGGAGAGTGGATTTCAAGACTGTAGAGATTACCAAGCAAAGATTAAGTGAATGGTGGCAGAAATCGAGAGAAAACTAGGTATTTTCTTATTCACTGATGGCAAGGGGGTTTCATAGCCTCACTTTCTTTGCACTGCGGAGTGAATATAGATTTCACATTTAAATATTCTAAGCTTAAATGGTAAAACAAAATGGCTAGGTGGCGTAAGCTACCGCCCGATCCAAAGGGCTCAGTCGTATTCATCCATCCATCCATCCATCCCGCCCTTCCTCGTGCAATTGCGCCATCTCGTGTCAGTGATAGCTCCGAGGTAATCCTTTGATACCGATTTTATTAGAGAAATCGGCCACGCGTCGATGTAATGTTTGGTTTTCCAGGATGCTTAGATCCCTTAGATTGAGCTATGAAGATCGATAGACCATGGCGGGAAGTAGTAATGTCGACAGCACCGATGCGTGCTCTCCTCGACTGTCCGCTTTTGCAGGGAGGAGGTGAAGTTGGACGAGCCTCCAGCCGACATGAGGACGGAGATGGAGGAGCGCCGCCACGAGCTCATTGGTGGGTTCCTTGCCCCGTCCAACGGTTGGCCCAAACGGTCCGGGCAGCCTTTTTTGAGGGCTCCGACGGAGGCTTTTCTTTAATTGAGGACTAATAAAGGGAAGCTGGGGGAAGTGAGGGACTTGCTATGCAAGTGGCTCGCTTGGCTGGACTTTTCGTCTTGCGGTGTGACCGAGGCCCGACAGGGTGCGTCTTCCTAGGCACTCGTGTCCGGAGTATTGTCGGTGTAGAACTTGCAGCTGCATAGTCTCGGGGAGTTGCTCCAGCCGCACTGCAGCAGCCCCTTCCTTGCAGAGCACGTGTCCAATGCGGACGAGGCCCTCGGGGAGATGTACCTGGAGGAGAAGACACCTTCCGAGGAGCAAATCGTGGCAAGTGGTCGCTTGGGTCCTCGGGCTGCATTTGCCGTACCGCACGGTTTCGTGCCCAAAGAGCGCGTTGGCTGATTCGGAACGGGTCGAAGAACCTTTTCTTAAACCTTTTCTACCCTGGACTGGTTTGGAGCGCACTTATATAAAGTTTGCAACGTCGCCACGGGATGGCCCCACAGCCCCACTGGCGACAGGACGCTTAGCAACGGAGGTCGCTTTGGATTGGCTGGTTCTAGGGAGCGACACCGTGACGTAACACCTAGCGACCGAAGATTGCCGGCGACGTCCCCCTTGGCCAATTTGGGCGCTGCGCAGTTGGGGACGGCGGCTGTATCGACGGTCTGCAGGTGGCTCGTGACAAGAGATGAAAGCAGCTGGGGCCAGCTGCAGCGCCCTGCTGGCGGCTCCTATGCGCCCTGGCCCCGCCGTCCCTCGCTGCACCTCGGTTGCTGGGCGCTACGTCACGCCGTCTCTCTCTAGAACCGACCAATCCGGCTGCCGTCCTCTGTGCACGCACTAAGTGACCCCATCTGCTTGCACCAGAGAGAAGACGGGTTTCGGGAATGTTCACCCCGCAGAAAAGTGCTTAGTGGCTGCGTTCATTATGCTTCTTTATATATATCCGCCGCGCGAAATGCTCACGCATATCTTCGAGAACCAGCGTGGCGGCAGCGGCGATTTCGGCCGTTTTTTTAAAGCGGGTTGCGCTCTCTCTGCCCTGTGCAAAGTGGGTCCAGATATAGTTTGAGCGCAATCGCTAGGTGACCTCCAGAGTGGCAGAATTTGCTGCCACCGCCAGTTCGGACAGATACTGCGCTGCAAGTGTGTATCGTTTCCCAATACTGTCGAGACCGAATATAACGAAATGGCGGCTACAGCGAAGCGATCACGATTTCCCATTCCCTTTTGCACTTCATTAGCCGAAGTTGTTTATAACGAAATGGCGGATATAGCGAAGTGATTCCCATTGACTCGGTGTATAACCGGTCTGGACAACGGCGCGAGGGACGAGACTGCCCACGCTGGGAAGGAGTCCATAGTGCCATCTAATCCCGAGGCAACGGAAGAGAGCGCGTCCCACGTACGGCGAGTCCGTCGAAAGGCCGGTAGACAACGGGGGGGTGGGGGCGTGCAGGCGGGGATCCGGCGTGCCTGCCTGGAGCGCAAGTTCTTCCCGGTGCTCATGGGCAGTGCCCTGAAGAACAAGGGGGTCCAACCCCTGCTGGACGCCGTGGTCTCCTTCCTGCCCAACCCCTCGGAGGTCACCAACTACGCCCTGGACGAGCAGAGCAGGTGACCTCCCTGGCCTCTCTTGCTTCCTCTTTCTTTCATTATTGGAGATTTTACTACCCTAATGCGTCGAGTCATCGCCCACCCCCGAGTCGTCGTCCACCCACTTTTTGGGCCAATAGTATTGATTTTTGAAAGACACCGAGCCATCTCCCACCCCTACCAATACCCCAACGCACACTCCAATCCGTGCACATACATCCTACCCGAACGACGCAGACCTTACGGTTGGAGGATGTCCGTGACAAAGTAAAACGAAGGACGGAAAGACACTTCACTTTGTTTACGCCTTTCCTCCCAAATTTCTGCGACCCCAAGATCGTCTAGACGTGTGCGAAAGGAAGGCGACGGAGGGAACACAATAAAACTTTGTTTTACAGAAAAGTTTGTTCGAACAAAAAAAGAAAGTCTGAAAGATAACAGAAGCAGTAACCCATTCAGGGATTGCGAGGTCAGCAAACGCCCCACATCCTGGAATGTAACCAACCACAGAGTGTAAGGTCAAAGTCCGTCTTCATCGAATTAAGGTTACCACGAACCTGCTCCTTCTCCCAGAATGTCAGAACTGGTATCGTGCAGTGTTTGAGACAAAGCCGACGGGTAAATAAAGATTTGCTGGAGTGCTGCACGCGGACGTTCGTAAAGCGTCCCTTTTCGAGCTCCTTGTTCGTGGTGCCGTCCATGCCCCGCAGCAACGCCGCCTCGACCCGCGTCGATAGCACGCCACGCACGGACGTACTCGTGTATGCACCAAGCGAGGAAGTTGCGCAAGAACCTGCTCCTTGTGGTTGACAGGGTGCCCAACTTGGCCCAGTGCCAAAGTATTTGCCGACGTGATCTCCCGCTTCCCCAGCATCGCTCTTGGTCGCTTCTTTTGCCCGCTCGCTCCTTGCACCTGGTTGGTTTTCCAACTTCCTCGTTGATTCTCTGTTTTTTCTTCTTACTAAAGAAGAGAACATAGTGGTGTTACAAATGTGCTCTCACGTAACAAATGTTTGTGCTGTGTGCCAATCAGTGGTGTTCATCGTGCGTATGCAAGCAACAAACATTGCAATAGTAAAACATCCTTTCGTGAGCATTTCTTGCATAAAACAAAGGATAATTTGGGTTTTGAGTTAAATAGGTCTCTCGTCCTGCTGCACTAATTATGTACAGAAAAATGGCCGTTTGTCTACCTTTTCGTAGACTTTTCGTGCTTACCCACCGAAATATGGCCTGGGCCCATTTTGTTTTTATGAATTTCAGGTGGCAGGGGCTGGGCAATGAATCTAGATATTACGAGATCTGTTTCTTTAAATTCGTAACATCCCGTAAGGACGCCCCCTCCCGAGAGGTCGCCTATCCCGTTTTTCTGGCTAAATATCTGTAACATAAGAATTGGGAAACATCGCCCACCTCCCAATTCCCGTTGGACGTCGAGCGATGTCTGACTGGAATCGCGCATCAACGGCGCGATCTGCGCTACGTCCGAGAATTCATAGCGGATTCCCGCATTTTTCTCTGCGATCTGCGCCCGGGATATTCGCTCCCATAACACGCGAGTTGTTCCCGCGTGTATATTGCATCGTGAAATGCGAATCTGCTGGATCCTCGATCTGCGGTATCCGTTCCCGTGACACGGGAGTTTGTAGGGAATTCCCGCGTGTTTATCGCATCGTGAAATGCGAATTTGCCGTGTTTGCAATGTGCGGTATGAGTTCCCGCGTCATGTGGTTTGTAGCGGGTGCCCCGGTGCTTATCATTAATTGTTGCTAGAGTTTTGCTGTGGCATGCCCAAAGATAGCCCATGTTTTTCAGCATTTCTCTCTTCATTTTGGGGGGCCTTCTTAGGGGATTTCATGGTCCTCCCGGTTGGCCTTTTTCCTTTCCCCTTTATGTAGACTTTCCCACTCTCCTCTAGGACAGCATGAAATGGGAAGGGGGCAGAATCTGGCATGGTTTCCAGAGTCGACCCAAGCTTCGTGTTTGAGTTTGCTCATCTCGTAAGACAGCCAGATTAACCTTTTTATATTGCACCTGGTAACCAGATGAGGAAGCTCTTCATTAGGGGGCACTAGCTGCGAGGAAATGAATGTATAAGTTACAACAAATGGCATCTCTCGGTTGCTAAGGAGACGGAAAGCCTGTTTATTGAAAGTACCCAAGAGCATCTTTGAGCACAAGTCGTATTCACCTTCCGTATATAAATGCAGCTCGATAAAATGTTTTCTCGGTTTCCCACGTCCTCCAGGCAGTCTTTCTGCCTGGTGAGGAGTGGAACTTGTGTTTCTTCCTCTTTCTCGGAGCTCTTTTGGAAGAGGTTGCAGCCGGAAATCCAAATGACCACATGGTGGCTGCCTTGGTTGGATGCATATGAAATGCACACTGATGAAATGCACACTGATCTGAACTTGAAACCACCCAAATTGTGCAACTGTCAAGATAGAAGGAAATGTGTGCAGTTAGAGGAAAGAGAGGTTTTCAGTTGAGCTGCCCCGTTGCAAGCTCTTGTATTGCGTACGTGTATTGCGGCACGGCATGGCTGACACACGGCCAGCCAAAAAGTGGGAGCTTGGAGGAGTCGGGGCGTTTCACGAGCATCTTGACACGACGTCCGAGTCAATTTTTATTCGCCCGTCGTCGCCGTCTTTGAAACTATTGTACGACCGTTCTTGATCCTCTGGTACTCGCTCTGCAGTACCATTTGTAGGCGCCAGTTTAGCTTCCCAGCAGTGCAGTGACACGGTCGGTAGCAATCAAATTACAGATTGGGTGAACATGCCCGAGACTGCGGATTCGCATTGGTTTGCAAACAAAAGGCTTCTTTCTGTTATTGTCGCGTCTCTTTAATATGGACCAAATTTACGGCGACCTATCTTTCACCATGCAGTTTTGCCCTCTTGGTACGGGAACCTGCAGTCCGGACTATGGACAGCTATTTTGGGGATGAATCGGGTAAATGGGGGCATTTGTGGCTCGTTCTTATGGACGCCAGTTTCCCAGCTCAAAAAAAAGGTCCAAAATCTCTCCCAAAGTATCAGTGAATGCAGGAGGTCACAAGTTGCACCCGAACGCTCGTTGCGGGTCTTGCAATAAGAGCTGCACGCCAGAAGATAATGAAAACATCACGACTCACCAAAAGATGTTGCCTGACGTTCTAGAGAATATAATGAATGTTTTCAAGGGCTGCACCATAGGCTTAAAGTTTACGTACAAACTTCGAGACGGTCAGTACCTGCAGTTTGTGGACTTGCGGCTACAATTTATCGGATGTCACGTGCGCTGGTGCTACAACCAGTGGCGTACCAACTTGTTTTTGAGTGGGGGGTCAAACCAGACCCCCCCCTCTTCTGGGGCCGGGGGGCGGTGCCCTTGGTATGCCTCGGGCGCCGCCGGCCAGTGTTAGCTTGGCCCTGTGGCCTTTGTTTCAGGGGGGTGCAAAACACGTGCCTTGCTCCCCCACTCTGAGAACTGGGGTGGCAAACGCCGCCCTTGCCCCTCCAGTTGGTACGCCCATGGCTACTAACCCACGATTTAAGAAGGAAATCCTCCCGTATGAGTTTGCACATTCTAGACTAGTGAAAAGAAATATTGCCACGTCCTGTCCCCAGGCAGCACTGCGCAGGTGTTGCCAAAGTGTCACGCTTGACAGCTTTCAAATGCGGGCCAAGCGACTTTTAAGAGCGGGGTTTCTAATGTCAGTTTTGCTCGGTGTGTCTCAAGCTCTCCGTAAAGGGCCAAGAGCGGATGTCAGAACCTAAAAGAACAGCCAAAACAAAGACCCTCAGTGATTCCATACTTACGCAAGATTTCGCACGACCTAAAAGAAGTGGCAAACCGTTTCGATGCGCCGCTGGTGTTCACGACGCCACGCAAGTTTGCGCGACTGTGCGCGCGCATAAATCAGCAGCAGGCTTTCATGCACTGTCAAACACGCAAACAAGTTTGTAAACTGCAGGGTGGGTGTCGTACACGAAATCCCGTCGTCGTGCGGCCGAGTTTCTATGGGGCAATGCGGACGACGCGTTAATGAAAGAATGCGCAAGTATGCCCTTTCTTAGCGGTCCGTGAGTCGAGGTCGCTCGCACGTGCAGCGTAGAGACTGCCCGTGTCACTCCATCTTCGGCGGGGGAAAAGGAGGAAGAGAGATGCCGGAGGTACATGCTACAGAAAAAGCAAGCACGAGGCACTAGATACGCCGTTTCTCAATTGAACTACGTGAAAAAGAGAGATATTTCATAGATGCCTGGTGAGCGATACGTGATCGTTGTACGGCGTTGTTTGATTTTAAGGTGTTTTCTCGTTCGAGCCGTTTTTTTTTTTTTCTCTCTAAATGTTCAGTTAATAGTTCAGCTCTCATCCTAACTGCTTTTCTCTTCATCCCCGTCTTTTTGGGCGCCGCTTTGAATTCATTAAGATGTTTTCTTTCGTCTTTTACGTAAAATTGGTTATTTCCGCTCGCAGTCTATTGTTTCTTGAGATGGTGTGGGATCTACAACTGGGAACAAAGAAGATTGAACCCCAAAACAGGTCTCCTCACCGGCGACCTCGTTTAAGGAACAAGAGAGAAGCTCCGGAGCCACAAAGCTAATTTCTCGTATACTCCGTTTGATGGTACCTTGGCAAAGGTCCAAGCGAGCCAGTCGGCACGTCGAAGGGAGGCGCGTGACTCGCTACAGTCACAGACAGGTTAAGAGTTTGGGGGGAGCTCCTCCCAGCTCTGTCCCCTTGAGCGGAGCAAACGCTGGAGAGGAGGTGACCGTCTCTCCGGCCTTGGCTCTGCTAAAGTGGACAGAGCTGGGAGGAGCGCCCCCCGACCCCTTCGCTCGTAGACGCGGGAGAGAGAAGAATGCTGCTCTCGCGTAACTGTTGAGCACTCCGGGGAGACAAACGGAACACACCAAAACGGGATGGGAGTTCCTCCTTTTCCCCATCTCCAACTGCTCGGGTCACGCGTACACTCTCGCCCCCGGCCGTCACGTGCTCCGTCGCTCCGAGTGGCTCGAGGGGGCCGTAGCGTTTGCTCTTTGGCAAGTCACGGTGAAACGGAGCATAGATAAGGCTATGACGGGGGGAGGGGACATTTTTTGTCCTCGAATTAGTTCCGTCAGGTCATAAGCCTGTCATTGGCCTAAAAGGCAAGGCCAGACTCTGGTCACTCGGGAGGCAGGGTAGACGACGTCGGGCGACAAGCGGAAGCAGTCGCAGACCATGGGGAGTGTCAAACGGACGGAAGCGTAGCTTTCTGCTCAACCGAAAAAAACAAATTTGCAAATTCGAAAGCTTCCACATCTGTGCACTATGTGAGAGTAGAGCTAAAAAACTGCGTACTATTTCTCATTGTTGCTGCTCTCATTGATGCGCGCATTTTCTCCCCGATTTGTTATTATGGACGATTTTTCTGGGGAATGCGAGCATCTATATTAACGAGACCAGACTGTATCTCCTTCGTCTTTGTTTTGTCGCGCGAGTGCTCCAACTTCGCCGTCCGAGGTCCCGGCGTTCGGGGAGAATGGGTGACCGCCGACCTTATTTGCGGTTGGTGTTTTTGCGAAGGTGGCCAGTCTTGGGTGTTTGTTAGAAAATCGATCTTTTACCCAAAAAGTAGCTTGGTCGGTGCTTCGGCGACGGGTGTTGGGTGGGTAAATTACGGCACGCTCGGTGTGTTTAGTGTAATCCGTTGCTCTTGCGCACTTGTGTCTCTTTTGGGGCAGTGAGAAGGCCAAGAAGATAGCGATGAACCCTCGAAGAGATGACAGCCATCCCATGATCGCCCTCGCCTTCAAGCTGGAGGTAAGAAACGACGTGGAGAGGCGCTGCTTCGTCTGTGCCGGCTCCGGTGCGTCTGTCGAGTTGTCCGTGACGCTTTTCCGAGCCCCCTGGGACGTCCGCACTGCAGTGTGTGGGCAGACTGTTGACGTGAGCCCCCTCGGGCGTGTGCAGGCGGGCCGCTTTGGGCAGCTGACGTACGTGCGCATGTACCAGGGCTCCCTGCGCAAGGGGGACACGGTGTGGAACACACGCACGGGGCGCAAGGTGCGGGTGCCGCGCCTCGTCCGCATGCACGCCAGCCAGATGGAGGACGTCGGAGAGGCGTACGCGGGCGACATCTGCGCCCTCTTCGGCGTCGACTGCGCCACGGGAGACACCTTCGTCTCCGAGCAGGGCCTCAAGCTCTCCATGGTGGGTGGCACCCGAGCAATGGACACCCGGTGGGGTGCCCTCCTCAAATGATAACAAGGGCCATTCTGCGTGGCTCGAGAACATTTTATCTTAGAAACAGCTTTAATGAGGAGTTGGGCTAGCTGGGTTTTGCATAACTTACATGAAAAATACAGATTTCTACTCTGCTTTCTTTTGGACTAGTAAAGGCGAGCCAGTTGAACATGAATACTTAAAATCTAAAGAATAAAACATGGAGGTCAAGCACGTGCTTTCTTTCTTACGAAAGAATGTAGTTGTCCTGTGCTTGACCTCCGTGTTTTATTCTTTAGATTTTAAGTACTTTCTTTTGGCCTCTGTTTTTTTTTTCACGCTGTATTTTTCGCTCGAGTTAAAAACCACTTCTTGGCACCGGTGATAGCCATTTTCCAACTGTTGCGGTGCCTCGAAATTGAGGAATTTATTCTCCGGAAATTGAATCCGAGAGATCTTGGGCTTTGAAATGAAGTCCAAATTTTTTAACTGAAGTAGGGTCGTAAATCGGACCAGTTGGCAGCACGATGAAATGCAGCCTCAGTAAATGGGGACAAAGGACAGGATATTGGCTGACTCACAACAGAAGTTGATTGCATGAAAAGGAAACTCCAGGTTACACCCTTTCAGATTAAGATGCACCAGGGAACCAGAGACTGCCAAAGATATCAGCGAAAGTACGTTATCTCCTTCTCGGATAATGCCACGGATGGCTCGCTGAGCCATCTGTCTGCCGAGGAAGAGATGCTTCAACCATTATTTCTCGAGTTGTTCCGTCTCTGCCCACAGCAACTGCTGCGTCGGCGAAAAAAGGGAGACAATCCCCGCAACGTAGCGGCAGGAGTGCCCCGAGGGTAGCCCCGAGTGCTCTCTCAACCTTCCATTTAAACGTCCGTCTGTAGCAGGCTTTGTTTCTTCCTTGGCGACAGACGTGTCGGCGAGCCGTCGGTGGCATTATTGGAGAGGGGGTAACGTACCTTCGGTCTAACATGAGGGTCGATTTGTCAGGCGATATCTTTGGCAGTCTCTGGTTCCCTGGTAGGTCTAATCTCGAGTGTGTGGAATTTGTTTTACGAGTTTCCTTTTCATAAAATAAACTCGAGTTGCGAGTCGGCCGTTGTCGTGTTCCTTCCTCGTTTTTTGCCCCTGTTTGCTAACGCTGTATTTCATTGTGTCTAAATTTTTATCGCACGCCGAAGCCGTGGAGCTGATCTTACGAGAGGTACCTGCGGGATGGAATTGATATTTCGGGTGCCCACGGGTCACTCGGTGCAACCGGGTCAACCTGGTGGAGTTCTCCGCCCGGACGCAGCACGAACCGGAGCGCGGTCTCTGCAGGAGTCGATCCACGTCCCAGAGGCGGTGATCTCCATGTCCATCAGCCCCAAGGACAACAAGGACAGCGACAACTTCTCCAAGGCCGTGAGCCGTTTCTGCCGGGAGGACCCCACCTTCCACGTCGAGTACGACCCGGACAACAAGGAGGTGGCGTCCCTTCTCTTTTCCTCCCGCACGTCGCGCCCGTCTATGGGGCTGCCTCCGGGCTACTCAGTCTCGAGTGGGCTCCACCTCTGGAATGGAGGGCTCACAAAGCATGGGCAAGGTGTTCCTAACTCTGCGGAAAAATGGGAGCACGCTACACGAGTCGGTCGGTCGGTTCATCGTATTTCTTTGTGTCCGGACGAAAAGTACAAGATACGTCGGTCGGACAAAAAGCCGACAGTTGTTGGGCAGACAATGCGATGCCTCACTCGGTGTCTACGCTCTTGGGTGGCGCATAAGCGGGGGAGAGTGTGCATCAAATAGTGAATTGGGGGACACGAGACCTCGGGGATACCTTCGTGGAATCGGTACAAAATGTATAGAGTATTGTGGCATGCAGCGTGCTTCAGATATAAGCGACTGTGGCTGGAACGAGCTTCTTACTACGAGGTAATATTATCGCGGGCTCCTTCGTATCGGCATTTGGCGCGCAATATGAGAAACAGCAGTCTGGCTTGCAGTAAAAACGGTGCTTCACCTTGTGGCCCCTTGGCAAGCGAGGGAAGCGAGTGGCGTACGCACCAACATTTAAACATTCGGGAGGGCACCTTCGAGAAAACATTTTGCGGAGTGGTGTATAGAAAACCGTCCTCGTTGAAAGACCAAACCCAAGCTCGGAAACAAGGAACTAGCGAGCTACGGTGGCATTATAAAACGCTAGCGGACAGAGCAGAGTTAAGTATGTTGAGTTGACACTGGGGTAGAGAAGAAACATCAAAATGTAGAAGGGACAGAAAATAGACTGGACGACGCCTGATCAACATGGTTAATATTCAGCAGCTTGCCTGCACCCTTACAATTTTTTCTCAGAGTTGAGTGTTTGAAATGCGGTTAAGGACTTGACAATCTTAGCTGGGTGACCCTCAGAGCCCCAAAAGTACCCCTGGGACATTTTGTGTGCATCCAGCTTCTTGCTGATAATACTGTCCTTCTAAGAAACTGCTGGTGCGACCCAGTGATTCGTAACTTTGTTCTTGTTGAGTTGCTTCATCCAACTTGCTCAAAGCCCCACTAGCCTTATTGTCTGCATGCCCGATTCTGAGCGGGTGCTGCCTTCCTCCCTGCAGATGATAGCGTCGGGGATGGGGGAGCTGCACTTGGACATCTATGCGCAGGTGAGTGTCCGTCGGAGCGCCCTGTGAGCAATGCCACGACTCCCTGGAGCAAACCGGGGGCTTTTTGGGAAAGGAGGGAAGTCTGTCTGTTTTTCTGGCGCACTTTTGACGTGATACAGCGGTAGAAATTTTGCAGCCTAAATGTACCGTATTTTCCGGGCTATAGTCCGCAGACTATACACGTTGAAAAGTTTCTATTTTAGGCTGTGCAAACTATCTACGCGTGCTGACTATACAGAAAATTTGTTTTCCCAAAGTCGTTCCTTATGACGAGATGTGACGAATTTTGTGAAAGAAAGAGCATGTTACGATGATTTACCGTAAAATACCGGGCAAGTGCCCGCTCAAAATTTTGAGATAATCACGAAAAAATGGGGGATGGGCGCTTGTCCGGTCATCAATTCTGCATATAAATGTATTATGCAAATTACAGCGGAGCTGTTAAGGGCAAGGTTCCCTAGGATCGTGTTCGGTACAAAACACTTGTCGACAAAAACGCCTCTGGACAGCTACCGCCATCTATAAGCGACGGCGGCAAGCACACAACCAGTATGGTTGCCGCCGTCACTAATAGATGGCGCCAACCTTTCCAGCTATCATAGAAGAATGGATAGTTGGGTGCGTTGGTGGGAATTCGTCGTAGGAAACGGCGCGAAAAATAGACGACGAAAAGAGGGAGCACTTGTAACGAGCGCAGCGCGCGTCACGTGTGTTTCTTCGTCCTGGTCTGTTTTGCATGCTGTTTCCTACGCTCTTATCAGTTTCGGTTTGGACTCGCGATGTGTCAGCCACGTGCCCTTTCGGGGAAAGAAGATTGACTGCGGAAGGAGCGGCGACATACGCAGCAGCGTGAATGGGTCCGTGACCGCCGCAAAGCCGCTGTTGCCTCGACTTCCGCTGCGTCGGGCGCTTTAGATTCCCTTGCCAAAGAAGAGCACATCGCTCGCCCGGAAAGTTGCCACCGAGAACAGAACCAGCGATGTAAAGGGTGCCGGCGGGCCAATGCCACGGTTGACGATCGTGCCACGGAGGCCAAGCGCAAGCGCGAGGCTCGGCGACGACTGCACTCCACGCCAGCTGAACAGTTCCCGGGTACGACGGCGATGTTCCGGAGGGAGTTCGGGGATTACCCGTTTGGCGTCACGTGCGCCGTGTGCGACCGACTCTGGGTCGCCAGAGACGTACATACGACCGGCAGCGTGTCGGATGAGAAGAAGCGGGAAACGGGCGCATGCGCGTTGCGGTAGTGTATCGAGTCCAGCTCCGCTGGTCTTCCTTCTTCACGAGAGTGGCAACGTTATTAGATCACCTCAGTTGTGGAACCCCCGTGGAGGGGGGTAGCCCCCCTCACTCACTTCAACCCGCCAAGCGTCGTTCGAAGCGCCATCTATATTTTTGTTTCATAACTACGCGTTCCAAAGAGCCCAGCTGAAGCGCCAAATGGCGATCACAACACTGCCATTTACCCTGCAGCGGTCACTCGAGGAACTGCACCTAACATCTATTTTGGCTTTTATCGGCCGTTTCGGAGCCGAAACAGATACAGTGGAAAGTGTTGCAGGGATGCCACCCCCGTCTCCCCAGCGGACGCGCCCCGAATTTGCACCAAGGTTAGGATGAGCCGAGGTCGGGACGTGCTACCTGAAATCGCCGCTGAGGCATGGTTGTATGAAAACAATATTAATTGTACCGCAAAACCTTGCAAACTAAAGATTTTAGAAAACATCATGCGCCCCCCATTTTGTACTAAACTCCAATAAAAGTTACTACAAAAAGAGTTTTTTTCCGTTGGTTTTTACGTTTCTAGCAACGTTGCAACGTTCGTATCCTGATTCAGTTACCAAAGCAGCCGTCTGGCGGCGCGTCGAGCGACGGTTGGGGAGTCGTGGTGAATGAGGGGGGGGGTACTGTTTGTGCATGCGGCGTCTATGAGCAGTTCCGTAACTGAGCTAATCTAATAACGTTGGAGAGTGGAAAGGCTGAACGTTTTTTTCTCACATCTTATAGATTTGGGTATGGGTGCTTAATGTGGTAGCGGATGCGTAGTATTCTACGGTACGTGTAATGCGAGCTTTTTTTGTGAGCTAAGAAAGCAGACATTCATCGAGGTGTGCCACGTATGAAAAGATCTTTGTGTCGACTAAGCACCGGGACTATACCCGGCGTGCGGACTACACACCGGGTGCGGACTATCTAAGCAAACACTTTTATTTTTGACCCAAAATACGCCCCTGCGGACTATACAACAGGTGCATACAACAGGTGCGGACAGTAGCCCGGTAAATACAATAAGCATACATATTTGGTGTTCCTCGAATTTCGGAAATGACTTTCTCAAGCTTCTTTGTAAGTCTTTTTGAAGTGTGTTGCACAAACTAGAAAATTGTTTCGCATATATCTCTGAATAGATACCATAAAATACCGCCGAAGCACCCAGTTCATTTGAGCAGCCACTCATTTTCAAAACTTTGGAATTCTGCATATTCTGCGTTAAACTGCCGATTTGAAGGGACAAGCGCCCATGTCTAGATTAACCCAGTTCCGAGTGAAAGTGGGCTGGGTGCTCCCCCAGTGCGGTAACGGTAGGGAAACATTACGAACTGTCGCCAGGTCAAAATAGGGCAGTTCCAGGGCGAGACCCATTTCTCTCGAGAGTTGGGTTGAGCAGACATCTTGATGGCACGATAGGGCTTGAGCTCAGTGGCGTCGCTGTGGAAGGGGGGGGGATGCAGCCGGGCAGTGAAAGGGGGAAAAAGTGTTGCATGTCGTGAACCCCCCCCCCCCCCTTCTCTCCTTTCTTGTTTCAAGTTTCATTGCTTATAATAATAGGGCAGAAAGGGGGGGGGGGGGGGGGGGTGACTTGCATTCTGTGCGGCCGACCCTAGTGACGCCGCTGGGTGAGCTCTGTTTCTCCGAGAGACTGGTGGACCTGTTGTTTGTTTGGCAGCGCATGGCTCGCGAGTACAACTGTCCCGTGGTGCTGGGCAAGCCCAAGGTAGCCTTCCGGGAGTGCCTGACTGCTCCCTGCGAGTTTGACTACCTCCACAAGAAGCAGCACGGCGGTTCCGGCCAGTACGGCCGCGTCATTGGATACCTGGAGGTGAGCTTGCATTCGTCCTGCTTCCAAGGAGGGGCCTCATTGCCAGTGTTGCTCCCAACATGCACGTTGTTTGGGTGTGGCTCTTTCAGACAGTATGCTGTATAAAAAAGGCCACGAATGTAGAACTTAAAATGAATGTTTAACGAGGCAAACTGCCAAGCAAAAGGAACCCCGGAGACGAAAGGGCGACTGTCCCCAAGCGGCCCGTGCCTGCTGCTTTGAGACACCCGGTTAGATGTCTGCAACCAGAACACACGGCCACAGCCCACAATGAGCTGCACATTTCCACAGCAGTACAGGAGTATTACGAAGGAACGGAGCAGGGTCCGAACCACGTCCCTTCTCGCGGGAGCCGCGTGCGTCGGCAACTCCGTCGTGCATGTGGCAGTATTTTTTACTAAATGTTCCGCAAACTAAAACTGGAAATTCAACATATATCCGTGTGCTTCTTTTATGCGTCATGGTTCTGTGAAAAGCACGTATAGTACTGGTCGAGAGCGCTCTTATTTATTTCCGGAACAGTTATTCGGCGGGACTAGAAATAAGCTGAACATTAAGTTTAATACTTCGGCATCATTATGCGTAGAGGAACAAAATGGTACGAACCATTTCCATTCATTCATTTCTTTTCTTCATTTATTTAGATTCGAGGTTTAGATCCATTATATGAGTGAGAATTTTCAAAATGAATGCTAAAGCAAATAACCGGTACAATGTCGAAATGCACTTTGACCAGTTACAACGTAGTATAGCACATCCTTGCCACGCACGAAAACGGTCTAAATTCTAGATTCTGCTAAATTCTTCAATCCCCTGCCCGTTTCTATCTGGATGAGCATCGTACGGGCGTGCGGTCATGTAGCGCTACTGCGTGGTGCACATTAAACACCCCAGGTTAGCGGTTGTAGTGCACTCGTCGCCCGTTGAGGCAGACCAAGTTCTAGGCTGTATAGACGTACACGCAACCCAATTTTCTTTCCGCTAAATTCCATTTTACCAAAAAAATATTTATTCATTCAAACACGGCACACGCGCATTCTTGAATACACCAAAGCATTGGGAAATTCCAAGTCAAACGGTGAATGTAAAAACGTGTCATCACATTTATTTTTGTATGACGGCTCATTTTGTTCCGTTGCCATAGATTCCGGTAGAGTGTTCCACTCAGAAACACTCAACACCAGTGGAAGTGAAGAAGATATAGGAGAGGGAAATAGTTCCACTTTGTGCGAGTTATCGATTCCTGCTGAAATATGTACTGCACGTCTGTAGAATGATTGTCTAAAAGTGGAGTCATGGTAATGAATACAATAAAAAAAGATACACGCACAATGTCTTTCTTTATATGTCTTGAGAAGATAAACCTTCGTTAAACATGTAATACTGGTTTGATAAGAGCAGTTACCACAAATAAATTGGAGGGCTTTATTTTGTAGGGCTTCGAGACTTTTGACCAGGTAATTCTGATGTGGATTCCATTTGCGTGCTTGAGTTTTAAAGAAGGATAGTTTTACGGGCCAGCAGACGTTTACCCTGGGGTGCCTGGGTACAAAGATTGCCAAAAAAAACCAAGTTTCTTTGATATGTTTCGTATGGTGCGATTGATGTGCTTGTTCCATGTTAAGTTGTGCGTAATGTAAATGCCTAAGTATTTGCACGGCGTGGCAATGTCGAGATAAAGAGAAAGGAGGCTGGTGTGGGTTGTTAGCACTTCTGACTCTACCTACTCATTTGACGACACTTACTTCGATCTTGAGCTACTACTTTAAGCACAACATGCTAATTTTGTCGAAATCAGTCTGTAAAGCGTGACTACTATAAAATCCCATAAAAACACCCTCCCCTGAGAGATTGCCCATCCCGTTTTTTTTTTTTCCTAAATATCCCGAATAAAAAAATTTTGAAACGTAGCCCATCTGCCAATTTCCTTTGGACGTCGCGCGATGTCGGATGGGAATCGCACCAACCGCGTGATCTGCCGTACGTCTGACAAGTGAGTTCCTAGCGGCTTCCTGCGTTTTTGTCTGCAATGTGCGCACGCCATATCTCTTGCCATAACACGCGAGTTTTTTTCCGCATGTATACTGCATCGGGAAATACATTTGTGCCGCGTCTGTGGTATCCATTCCTGTGATATGTGAGTTTGTAGCGGATTCCTGCTTTTTTGTCCACAATTCGCGCTCGCAATATCGGTTTGTTTTTGTTTGTAGCGGTTTCTCGCGTGTTTGTTGTACCCTGAAAGTTGAATCTGCAGTATTCGTTCCCGTGAGATGCAAGTTTGTGGCGGATTACCGCGTGTTTATTGCGTCATGAAACGGGAATTTTTCGTGTCCACAATCCGCAACATCAGTTGCCGTGCCACGTGGTTTGGAGCAAGTGCCCCAGTGTTCATCACAAATCTTCGTAAAGTTTTCTCGTCGTATCTTCAAAGAAAGCCTACCCCATGTTTTTCACCATTTATCTCTTCATTTTTGGGTGGGCGTCCTCGCGGAATGTTACGGTTGCATCGAGGTTAGTAACTTTTTGATATAAGACGGAGTCGTCCACAAACAACACAATTTTTTATGTTAAGGTGGATGGAAAGTCACTTATATGTATCGAGAATAGGAGAAGGCCAATCACACTACCCCGTGGTACACCTGATATGATGGGAACTTGAGATGAACCACCATTATTTACTCCTACTGATTGGGTTCATTTGCAACGAAGATCCCGAGCCTCTAAACCTGGTGGCTCGGTTACGATTTTAATGCCGGCTTCTGTGTCTTTGATCGTTGACACTGACTGTGCATCCGTACCGGATCTACCGTTCGATATCACTCCTGGAACTACAGTTAAAATCTCTTTGAAAAAACTTGCGCCGTAGTTTTTAGTCGACGCCGGGACATTGCTTGCCCGGGAGCCTGAAGGGAGGGACGCTCGGTCGAGGAGTGTGTGCACTGGGGGCGTGGGAGTGACCGAGACGGTCCCGTTGCAGCCGCTGCCTCCCGAGCAGAACACGGAGGTGCTGTTCCAGGACGACACGGTGGGCACCAACGTGCCCAAGACCTTCGTCCCCGCCATCGAGAAGGTGAGCCTCCGGCATGCACACTCCTTGCCAGCCTCCCCTTGGAAACCCCGGTCTGTTGCGTCAGCCAGCTGCGGCCCAGCCTTACGAGACTTGCCCGCATCAATTCCGTTGGTCGATCATTGGCGAGATAATACGAGATGGAGAAAGTCCATTAGTGTTCCCTAGGATAACTCTGTTGCATCTTGCCGAGTCGTCCGACTGGTGAAGAGCCAAAGGTGGGCTAGTGCCCCGAATGCAGCGATGACCCGGCAGGAGCAGACACGTGGCGTCTTCTCTCATTCCCAGGGGTTCCGCGCAATGTGCGAGAAAGGATGCCTCACGGGCCACAAGATTGCCGGCGTCAGATTTCGTCTCGTCGACGGTGGGTTGGCATTTCTCGGTCGAGGTTGCAGCCATCGAGTGAATGTTCCTCGCTACCCGAGCAACTATTGAGAGGTTGTGAACTGACGCTTAACTGTGATCCTCTAAAAGGAGGCACAGGTGCGGTGTATTCCTTGCCACAACATTGCGCGAGTGGAGCTGGCTGTGCAGAGCGCATTGTTCATGCAGGGTCGCGTCACTGACACCCCCAAAATTTATTTTTATTTTTTGCCAGGCGTTATATTCTCTTGTCAGAAGACTACCCAATCAGTATTTTGCTGCAGCGTCACCTATATTTTTAATAAAGTCAAAAAAGGGAACTCCTCAAGACCAAAACTGGACTGGGGAGGAAGAACAGGCATAGAGGAGGAGAGAGTTGGCAGAAGCCACGTGGCTGTGCAACTTCTTTTTCCAATCGACGTATTTGCTGTATTTTAGAAGCCACAAAAAATGGGTATCCTATTTCTTTTCTAGTTTTAATATTGCGCGTGTGCCTCCATTGGCCTTCGACTTTGATTATATCGGATGGTTACGTCTAAACCATAGAAAATGGCACGTGAACACGGGGAAGAGAGTAAGCGCAACTATGGTGCCTGGAACGCGTCTCCGACTGGTGTGTTTACCGCGGCCAAAAATGTGGTCCCTCGATTTCCACCTGATGACGTCATAAAAGTGTCATGCTGTCGCCGGTCGCGACCCTGGCGGCGTTCCAACAGTTGTGGTGTATGTGGCAGATGCCTGTCCTGCTGCAGGTCGCTTTCCACCGTGACAGTTCACGGAAGCTGGAGCAGCCGGAGTTGGGACGCCTAAAGGGACTCCGTGACGACAGCGACACTCGCGTTCGCTCGTGCTTTTCGCCAGCATTTCTACGGCCAACCACCAGGATCGCGACAGGCAACAGCATGACATTCGCGTCATTTGTTGCCACATCGGGACCACTTTTGATGTATGGGCGGGATAGGGCGGTAAACACACCAGTCGAAGACGCAATCGAGGCACCATAGCGCAACTCAAACCGGCCAGTTCTCAATGGACTGTTTTCGGGCGGAAAGAAAACGAATTTCGAGCCACAAATTGTTTTCTGGGCAGTTGGTCTCGTAGTAGGCGGGTTCAAGCCGAGGCGGCCAAGGAATGACGCCCTCTACGGGGCTCTCGTATGTTGTGTACAGTCGGGGACAAAAGTCTCTTGGACGTGCGAGCTGCGGCTGTAACTTATCGCTCTGCCATCTGCCGGCGGGTGGCCTGGTTTCCAGATCGCATAAAAGCGCGTGCGCATCCTACTCTGCCTGCAAACGTGTCTGTTTTCCCGCTCTTCTGTGGCACAGTGCTTAACTCGGAATCGGGCGCGTGGTACCGCCTCGGAGATAGCGCTGGGGGCTGACGAGCGTCTGCTACACATTCCGAAACTCGAGATACCGCCTGGGGCATTTCGCCGCATTTCGCCGTGACAGCGCACCTTGCTTTATAACCAGTTGAGCTTATCGCTCGGTCGAGATGCCGTGACTTCTTGCTTGATATGTGCCATGTCGTTAAGCGCTATCTCCGAGGCGGTACCACGCGCCCGATTCCGAGTTAGGCGCCGCGCCGCAGAAGAGCGGGAAAGCGCTCATGTTGGCAGGCAGAGTAGGACGCGCATGCGCTTTTCTGTGACCTCGAAACCAGGCGACCCACCGGCAGATGGCAGAGCAATGCATTTCAGTCGCAGCTCGCGTGTCCTGGAGACTTCTGTCCCCGACTGTACGAGTGAAAACCTTGGCGAGCATAGCCTGTCAATGTCCCTTTGAGGGTTTGTCATTCTACCAGCCTCTTTAAGGGAATTCCCTCTTGTACTTCTCTTGGAATAGCATTGGGAGGCATTTCTTTGCTCCGGCAGGTGACCACCACATGGTGGACTCCAACGAGATTTCCTTCATCCTGGCTGCTCAAGGAGCAATCAAACAAGGTGAGGGCATTCACCCAACTGCACAGTTTTGTCTCTTCATAAGGATCAGCTTACACTGATGATGGAAAAAAGGACTGTCTGGAATGCGATTGGAGTAGATTCGAAGATAGCCTTTTGCTAGGAGTTCATGGCATATCTTGGCTGCACTGCAGGAAAGCAGGTCTGGTGAGCAGAGAAGCTTCTCCAGCAGAAGCTTCTCCAGCACAGGCAGTTGTACTTCATGTGCTCACGCCAAAGTCTCATCGATGGTAGAACGCTCATGCTGGAGGCAGAGACTGCATATTAGAGTACGTGGAGTGTTTTTTTTTAGACTTTACAAATTTGTTTTAGAAAACCTGCCACTCTAATGCGGTCTCTACGGGCGAGTTAAGGCTTGTTCACACATACAGCGGAGCGCTAAGTTAGCGCTACGTGAGCGCTCCAAGAAGCGCTCATGTGGCGCTTCCTAGCGCGTGACTTAGCTCTAACATAGCGCGCGATTAGCGCTTCTGTAGCACCTTGTTAGTGCTCCAGTAGCGCCTTCTTAGCGCTCCAGTAGCGCCGTGTTAGCGCTTCAGTCGCGCTTCTTGTACCGCGGCGCTGCGGATTAGCGCGTGCACTGGTGTTCCGGTTCCTGTGGTTGGGTGTGCATCAGCAGCACCATGGCGGACATGTGGGATGCTGAAATGGAAATGCGACAGATGTTCTTACATACGCGATTATGTGTGTGGACGGCTTAATGCACAGAAGAGCCTTCTGGGTGCGCGAAATCTTTGGCCACCGAGATACCGACGGGTACCCTGCGAACATTGTTCCTAGGCTGAGGGAGCGAGACACAGAGCTCTTTCGAAGGCGATTATGTTTAACTGCGTGTCTTTGAAGCCAGGGTCACGCATATCGAATAGAGAGCGATGAGGTCGTACCCAATCAATTCGTGGCTCAAAGTCCATGACTCTGAATCGCCTGCCCGACCCTTTGCTTGGAGAGCGGCTCTTTTACTTCCTCTTCTTTCAATGCCAAAAGAAAAACAACTATAAAGGAATCGCCGTGCACGCGCTGTTCTGCAGCAGCAAACACGGCACAAGGAGCGTGAGAGTGCTAACAAAGCATGTCTGTAGCGCTAACAAAGCGCATCCGAAGCGCTAATAGAGCGCTACGGAAGCGCCAACCGAGCACTACATCATGCGCTAGGAAGCGCCACATGAGGGCTCCTTGGAGCGCTCACGTAGCGCTAACTTAGCGCTCCGCTGTATGTGTGAACTGGCCTTTATACTGCCAGGGGAAATAATATACCGAGCTGATCCTCACGATGCATTTAATAATTAACTATTTTTTAAATTAACTTTTTATTTAGTGGAAGCAAACCTGGTTTCAATTAGAAACTTGCTAAGCATCGTCAAAAACCACTAAATAAGGACATGTTAGAAAATATTTGGGGTGCATAGTGTGCTAAAGTTACCTTTCATGACACGGGTGCAATGCTGGTGGTGTGCTGGTTCAGAAAGTTTCTGATTAGAACCGTATCTTTATTTTGAATAACTAAAACTTATTTAATTAACCCATTTTAGTACATTAACCCACTTACCATGACAATTTTTCTCCTATATTACGTCCCCCTGGCTGTGTCAATCTCCCACACGAACCGCATTACGGCCTTTTCAAAACAAATCTGCAAAGCCTTAAAAATAAAAATGACCGCATCTCCACGTGGTGAATGATGTTGATTGGGGCGAAGCTCTGGTGGTGCTTGTCTGCGTAGACAGCATGCCGAGCCTTTCGTTTGTTTTCATCCATGTCAGAAAGAGAATGTGTGGTATGGAACGTATTTGAGCGCAATGAGCATTTGACCGTAGCACCCTCTCGTCTATAAACGTTGAGCCAATGCATGCAAAGTTTAACGCGATTATACACGCATTTGACCGCAGCGCCCTCTCCCGTATAGACGTTGAGCGGCTACATGCAACGTTTCACCCATGACGTCCCCAGCTCTCGAGTTACTACCACACCTCAGAGCCCCCTACTCGTCCCGCAGTCGTGGCCGAGTGGTTAAGGCGATGGACTAGAAATCCATTGGGGTCTCCCCGCACAGGTTCAAATCCTGTCGACTGCACAAACATTTTTTTTTTCATCTTTTTTTCTTTTTTTTTGCTCTACACGAGCACGTGAGCTCATGAGCACGAGCACGGACGCCGGATAAGTCTAGACCCTAAGGAGCTTCGCCCCTAAAACATTCGTAGCAAATTGCTGGGCAATTGTGTTGCACGTGAAACATCTGGTAGCTTTACTTTGGCGATACTTGGGTGTTTCACGCTCAACACAATTGCCCAGCAATTTTCTACGCATTTTCGGTCCAATTCCTCCGCGATTGACGTCCACACGGCGCTCTTCATTGTTTACTTTAGCGATTGGCTTAACGCGTGGCGTGTACACTCGATAACAGTTCCTGGAATGAGGATACCGTCCGGGTTTTAAAGCCCCGGCGCTTCTCCCTCCATAACCGCAGATGTTTCTCCGATGACCTCCAACCACCGTCCGGCGGGCGAGTAGTGGCGCGCGAGTAGTTGCGCAATCACCAGCCGCACGGCATCGAGTGAGCGTGGCCTCGCGTGTGACGTCATACCTGAACCAGCCAATCAGAGTCGAGCTAGGGAGTATGACATCATCCCCTGGCTCAGCCAATCAGCTTCGAGTTGATTGGCGCCTTACTTTTCGGCTTCACGAATTTCTAGACCGCCCTGACGAGACAGAGCAACACCCTGTATACTAGAGCGGTGGCCACTTGGTCTCCCTCCGGCCTGTTGTCTGCTTCAGATGGGGCAACCTGCCAGAATTTCTGTGCCATCAAGCGTGATAACATAGAGGCAGCCGCAGCCAATGCCCGACATCGTAGAATATTTCGCTTCAGTGGCACGCATTCCTTTGGAGTGCATGCAAGAAAGTGAAATGCGTAACCCTGTCGACACACTATAATGCTTAGCTAAGCTGAAACATTCCACTTAATTGCTAGAACTGTATGACAAGGAAAGCCTTAATTGAACAATTTCCCTAGTATTATACGGAAGATAGAATACCCAGAGCTGACTGGATTGTTGCAACTGCAGTTTGTGGGCATAACCAGACGTTTTCCTCTCTGCTTAGAAGCGCTCTTACGAAAAGGAAACGTGGCAGGCCGTGCCACAGGTTTAGGTCCTCCGAGGTCCAGGCTACAGCAGTACAGCTGAGAGTTGACTGGGCTGTGAATGTTGTGGCTGTGGGCTGCCAAGCACTTGCACCGGAAGTGCAGTTGTGGCTTTGCAACACGGCACAACTTGCCTGCGGGGAGCTGTACAACCGCCGAAAATTGGTGCGGATAATACGGAGAAGTTGCTCGGAGATGCTTTTTCTTTTTTTATCTCTGACCGGGTGAGCACGACTTCCTTTGCCCAGTTTATGAGTATGGGAGCTGGCAGTTGCTCGAGCCCATCATGAATGTGGAGATCACCGCTCCGGACGAATTCCACGGCTCGGTGCTGACGACAATAAGCAAGCGACGTGGCATCGTGGTCTCCAACGAGAGCAGCGAGGGATGGTTCACCGTCACTGCAGAGGTATGGCATTGGCAGAAATGGATAGAAGCTATCAAGGGGCACACCAATTCCCCGATTTGCATGAGAACTCTCAATGTTAGTATGCTTACGAAATAAAAACACTCCTTCTAAGACTAGGGCTAAGATGTACAATGTGGTTCCAAAGTTGACTCTTGCCCAACTTGCGGCCGTCAAACTTTCCACAAGAGCCACCGAATGCTCGCAGCACCGGATACGGAAGGGAACAAAGCCCACGGATTGGTTGCTCGCCGCTGCATCGGTGGCATTTAAGTCTGTCACGCTGCGAGGTTTCTTTCTGACCGTTTGTGAGTCATTGTTAAAAGGGGCATTTCTATCGATGATCCCTCGCTTCGAAACATCATCCTACCGAAAACACCACATTTCTTAACCCTTCGTGGACAGTTTCCTAGCGTTGATGTTTAGTGTGGATGGATGCCGACATGCTCGTAAATGTGCACGACCTGAATCTTGGAAGTTACAAGCGCTTGGACGTGAGACTTTTGATCCAGTGAGTAGAAGTGTAGTGGCTCAATGTGTCCAGGATTCCTCTCTGCAATGTTCTTTGTTGGAGGAGACTCGTAGAGCGTTGGAGTGGAACAGGGTGGTCGTCCGCATCCCGGTCAACGGTGGCCGTTCCCAAACCGTGCTTCCGAGACAGGCTGCCGCACGAGGGCCCCCCCTTTTTGCGTCCACCGCAGGTGCCGCTGAACGACATGTTTGGCTACTCGACGGAGTTGCGCTCCATGACCCAGGGCAAGGGGGAGTACAGCATGGAGTACTCGCGCTACTCCCCAGCTCCACCGGCGCTGCAGCAGCAGCTGCTCGACCAGTACCAGGCGTCGCTCGAGACCCCGGCCGCGGCCAAGAAGAAGCGGGGCTGAAAGGCTGCACGGGCCAAAGGGGCGCGGAGAAAAAACCCTCGTGCATTTGCCGGTGCAGGGACGCGCTCGACCTCATCCCTCGAACAAGGCCTGCCAGAGGGCTTTGTTCGGTGCTCGAACCGATGCCCCATTTCGCCGAGGTGTCTACATAGCGAGGACGTTGTTTCCCAACTGAAATGCGCTGGTGGCTGGCTACTTGTATATCGTTTGTAGTTTCTCTAGTCTGAAACACACACCCTGCCTAAGGAAGGTTGGGTTCCGTGTTCTCGGTAAATACCCACAAACCCCAGAAATGGACCTCCGAGCCGCTCTTTTCCGTCGGGGGAAACCGAAAAACCCCGAGGTGAAGCTGCGCTTCGATGAAAAAAACCCAAACTTTGTGGGAAAAGAAACGTCCCATTTTCTTTTTTGTATTTACGCAACCGCACTGAACTGGCTTCTACTTTGTTTGGGAACTAGGATCCTTGTCTCGTTTCCCTCTTTATTTTTTAAAATGCATATTTTCCAAGTATTCAGGTATGTATTCTGGAGATTGGGGAACGTCCTCTTTAATATTAGGCCCAATAAACCCAATTTTTTGTCCGCCGCCAGACATTGACACCGAAAAACACGGAATCTCCCATACCGGAATCATCCAATTAGTATTGATCGCGTGACTTTTTCACGAGCCAATCAGCGTCGGGCTTCGCAGTAAATTTTTTAGGCTTCACTAAACCTGGCAACCCCCCCCCCCCCATAAGACAAAGAATGTTTCGCGTTAAAACACCCCTGAATTTGAAGAAAAAGAAACCCTGAAAAAACACCCCCTGGTTGGAAGAAAAATAAACCTCGAAAATGGGGAACCCTACCTATAAGGAATCATCAGTGTTTGTGGACTCTGCAAGCTTCAAAGGTTGCATTGTGTAGTAATAGCAGTTGGACTGAAGGAGAGATTGTGAAGGTTGTGCTGCGTCCGTCATCCATGGCACGCTGAACCACGGCTGGCCACAAAAACCATCAAAACCAGATCACTGCATATTCTGCAGTGCCACATGGAAGTATTCACCACAAAAGTCGGATTTTAAAGTTTGCTGAAACTGACAAGGCCCTTGTGTCCTGGCTGTTTCTTAGAGGTTAAGGCACTAAAGGTGTTTATTAAAATTTAAAACCACACCCGTCCAATGTTGCCTCGTTTCTCTTCTGTAACACCCGCCTTGAGTGGGCTTGGGAGATTCATACCAGAACAACTCCTGACAGCTTTCACTTCAAATCTCCAACAACGTGCTGGCGTACTCAAAAATGTTTTGCTTAATGCTGTAGCCATAGAGAACAATTTCCAAAGATCGCCACATAAACAGAAAAAAATAATTTGTAACATTTCTAAATTTGTATTGTTGCAGTGCCTTAACCTAGCTGTCCACAATTGATAGCTATTTATCTTGCGGTGTTGAACTGCAAAATGTTTTCATTCAGCTTTGAATTTTTTCATCTTGAGAATGTCTCATAGTAGCCCTATCATTGGTGCATACTACGGTAGTTTACTTTGGAAATGTAATACAACTCCAATGATAGTTTGCTTCAAGCTTCCACAGTTAATTAGCTACAGTGAAGCATTTCTTTCAGAAAACGATGTAATTACTTTCGTTTGAGAACTATTGTATTTCACTAATGCTGATGTGATATTAAAGGGATACTTCAACGAAATTTGAAATATTCCCGTCGTGTTCAAAAATAGGTTGAATATGATCCACAATATCCGTAAATGACAATCGCACGTTTGTATTTTGAGCCTGATGGCTATATTTTTCGTTATAAACGGCCCACTCTGGCAAGCACTCGGAGAAGGCCCAGCTTAGAGCACGTGACATCCAACGCAATCGTGACGTAGGTCGTCTCAAGACGAGCAAAGCTACGGCGAGGCTGACGTCGAGAGAATGGCCTAGTCGTTCCAGCCACCGAAGCGGCTGCTTTTGTACGAATTTTGAGTGACGGGTTAATCTTCTATAATCTTGTAGGGGGACAATAGCGACTTCTGCGACACACAAAAGGCATTCCCGGGAAGAGGGGAGTTCCTCGTTCCCCTCTTCTTTCGTCGTGGCCGGAGACGAGACAACCTCCGTCACTAGCTGTCAAGGTTCCTAGACGGGCATTACAAACGAGGCGTTAGCGACATCCACCAGGTGCTCTTTGCTAATCGTTTAATTCGTTTTAAAATTACTTTTCGAGACTTTTTTAACAAAATATTGGTATGTTCCATGTGATACTGCTCCTTTGAACACATATAAACCAAAAAATGAGCGCCGAAATTTCTTCGTAGTATCCCTTTAACGTATTCGTCCATTTCTGACCATTTCATAAAAGTGTGCCTTTATTTTATCTGCCTCACTAACGGTGTGATATATGGGAGCTGAGTTGTGACTATAATGCAGGCCAAATGTTTTATTATTTCGCAAAGTACTACCACCAAGCATGTAAGTTTTCTTCTATAGCTGTCAGTGACGCTACAGAGTGAGAGTCCACCTCTACAAAATCATAAAAAAGTGACAAGAAAGTTGCTAAAATTTATGTTAAAAGTAAAAAATTACAAATCACCCTAGAAAGTAATTAAATTACGGTATTTAAATCACTATGTCACCCGCTTGAGAGAAAGATCAATACCACCTAGAAGGAAAGATAAAGGAAAAAATAAATCTAATACCAAGCTTTTTTTTTTTTTTTAAGGAAAAAAAAATGCTTTAATTAAACTAAAAATTACTTTCGGTTTGTGCTTGGCTGCGTTGTGAGGCGCATCGACTAAATTCGGTTTGATTGTCATTACTTTGTCCTTTTTTTCTTTCATGATATATAATTTATTGAACTTTAATAAAAAAAAAGTGATCTATAGATTTTAGACTGACTAAACAATAAAGAGTGAAAAATTCCAAGGAAAGCGTCCAGCGCATCCAGCGTTTGACGAGTGGTCAAGTGAACGTTGGGTCAAGCAACGTTGGCAGTTCCTTAAAATGGCCGTCGAGAGCTGTTTGGATTTTCCCATCTGGGCTCTGCTGCCGAAGAAAGAGACGTGTATTCCGGCATTCCTGGGCAAATACCCGGACTACGATGGAAGAGGGATCAAGATCGCGATCTTGGACTCCGGCGTCGACCCCGGTGCGCCGGGACTTCGGGTGAGTAGCGGCCGGCTCCGAATGACATGACGTTTTTGCCCTCCTGCCGGGATAGTGCAACGTAACATTTCTTCTCAGGGAGGCGTCCGAAATCTATTTCTCCCACTGGAATTGGCTGATCGTTGGGCTGACGTGCCTAGTTGACCGGGGCCTACGGGCCGTGAGCCCCTCGAGTGGCCCGAGCGCTGCGGCCCAGCGGTTCCGTGTGAGCGCGGAGACGGGGGTTCATTGCTCGAGACGGGGCCTCGCTCGAGTCAGCTGTTCAGGCTGCATCGGCGATGGCCCTCTTGGTTCGTTGGGAGCCACTGGGAAAACATGCATACCACGCTGGAGCTACCTAGAAGCTGCACGATCAGCTGCGACCGTTTTAATATGCTGTCGAAACTTGCCCAACGAGCGAACAGTACTGGGTCCTCGAACTAAACTTGTTTCGAAGAGTACCTTGCCATTGCATAATTACTGGGCGTGAACCTGGCACACTGCGCCACTCCTCAACAATCTGGACTTATTGTTTCTTTTATATGTGCACCGACACAATCTGAAGTGCAGTTCCTGTTTCAAAAATAAATTAGTTACAGTTAGTTTGCAAATTATGTATTTAAGTTACAGTTCCTCAGAAAATGAAAGTAATGTTAGTTACTTCCGCAAAGTAACCAAGTTATATTGAAGTTGCAGTTGCAATTTTATCAATTTACGTAGGCAATAATGGCGGGACAAAACTCGCAGGAATCCCGTACAGTTGGACGTGACATTGAGTAACCCACAGACGAAACTCTGGCGCTGGGGGCTGAGGTCAACTCTAGGGTTAGAGGCGACAGGCAGACTGCGCAGACGTCTGGCCGGTCTCACTGTGGAACCTGGCCGTGGTGTCATCTTCGCCCACTCCTTTCGAGTGAGGGAAGACAATAAATACCACAACATGGCACTTCTGGCGAGCACACTTTGCGAGTCCCACACTTGTGGGAATGTAATATGAAAGCAGGTTCTGCCACGGCCATTCATTCCAATGAACATTTGCAGGGCCCCAGTCGCACACAAAGCATTAATATGAAGCGCGTTCTCCCGCTTTGGATTCTTTGTATTGCCCCCCCCCCCCTTATGTAATGCCCCTGGTGGGGCCTTTAAGGGATAATAAATGAAAAAGGTACAGCTAGCTTGGTAGGCAGCATCATTATGGCATTTTTTCCCTAAAGTAACTGCCATTACTTTTCAGTTACTCATACAAAAAAGTAATAAAGTTGTAGTTAGGTAACAAAAGAAATGAAGTTTCTGAAAACAAGTAGTTATATGACAGTACTAGTAATACGATACTACCCAAAACTCCATTGCCATAAGATGCTCTGATGGGAATACTTTCTAATTTTATTAGTTCGGATAGTCTGCTGATGCTGCTTTCGAGTGCTGCAAACAGATCAATAAACAACTTTAATAGAAGGACTGGTTTTCAGACACGAGCATGCAGAATGTGTTTGGCAAGCTCCTTACAGTATCATTTATGCATACGCAAACGTAACACAAAAACTGGTGTTGCATTTGCAACAGATGGATGCAGCATTTCTTTGACACAGTGCCGTCACTTCTGTTTTGCAAGGAGTTTGAGACAAATCCTGGAGGAAGGCCCACCAAGAAAAGCTCAGCCACTTTTTTAGGGTCTGCAGACAAACTGACCAGTCTTTTGACAGACGCACCATGGAAAGCTCACTTTAAAGGGGAGCTACGGAGGTTCTGGAAAAAAATTACGAGGGAATTCTAGTGTATTTTTACCCCGTGAATACCCAAAACCATTTGCTGCGCAAGTGTTGTTAAACGCGAGAAAACGCGAAAGACCGTTGCTGTACGTGACGTCATTGACGGATCTTTTGGCTGCCCAAGGCTAGGGAGCTTCAGCCCTATTTTGAAATTGCTCTTATGGCTCTCCGGCAGGTCGCACTGAAACATAATTGTGATATCTATTATTCTAAAGGTCCAATGAATGCAATTCAAGTGTTTTTTCTCAGATGCAGAAGTGCCCCATCTTCCCTTTAAATTCAATTTGTGTGCAAGGTGGTCATGAGTATTTTAGGGCCATAGTGCAACCAAATCTACTAGTGCCTACCACGCAGGTGGTGCACATTTCAAGGCAGGGTGCTCTGCTCCGGCCCTCATTCTTTCATGTCAACCATTTTCATGGGACCGTTACCATATTGCATTCTGACATGGCTGGAACGGAGAAGATATCAAATTGTCTTTTATTTGCCAATTGGAAGGGCGTAAAAAATATAAAATATTTTTACTCGCCAATTGGAATGACGTAAGAAATATAAAATTGTTTTTTATTTGCCAATTGGAAGGACGTAAAAATGAAAATGAATGGCAAAAAGTGAAGCTGTGGCACAGCATATGCAGTGCCAGCTGCTGCATGAAAGATAATTCAGTATATAACGACCCAGGATCAAGTCTACCTGCATGTTACTACACTGGTTATATTTTCCTCTACTCACGCTTAATTACCTTTCTACGGAAGTTTGTGAGGGTATTTTTGTTGTGCGACTCGAGACAAAAAGATTTCTGTTTGTAGATGAGCTTTTCTTTGCGTCTATCAAAAGAATGGTGAGCTTTTTTCTGCCCCCCCCCCTCCATTTAGAGAGATGGGCTGAAAAAGCTTTCAGTCTATGTACAGAAGGTGCTTAGCATGCTATCCCCAGGTATTCATAGAGCAAAGTTTGGGAAGTGATTGATGATCCCAAAACAACGAAACCTGTTCCCCTAACAAGCGATGATAGGTCGACACTCTCGGACGAGCAAAGTACCAGCACCCTTAACCAATCCTTCAGCTCCCATGAGTGCCATTGAAATCACTTGTATAGACATTATGCAGGGCTGAGCAATTTACTTTTGAATTGTACGTAATATCAATGCTCAACATTGTAAAAAAAAAATATATATATATATATATTCATTACAAGATAGTACCTGGTGCAAACACAAAATTAATGTGAAAATTCCGAGGTCACCCGAGCACTTCTAATGAGTAGCGAATGCGAAAGCATGAATGTCATTCTTGCGCTCCCTTAGTTTGTCTGCGGCACACTGGCGTGGACGGCCAGGTTTCGCTACTGCCGAGGTTGTGGCCGACGGCCAAGTGCTCACGACGGAGCGCGGTTCTGCAGCGTAATCGCGACATTTCGAAGGAAGGAGACGAGTTTTCTGTCCTTTGCGACAAGATAAACAATGTCAAAAGTAGAAGATGCAAATTCTTTCCACATTAAAATCGTCGCGCAGCTCCTTTAAAGCTCTCTCTCAATGGGGCTGTTTTTACCGTAATAATGGTATGCCACCCATTTTGTTCTTAGCCCGAGACTGAGGCAGGAAACGAGGAAAGTTTCAAAGTAGAAGAAAAATGAACAGTCGAGGACACATCTCTAACACAGCTTAAGACAAGTTTATTTGGTCACCCTCTCGTATACACTCCACGGACTTCACCACAGAACCTTCTTGACCTCCAAAGTCGAGAATGAAACTTTCCTCTTTTCCTGCCTCAGTTTCGGGCTAAGAACAAAATGGTTAACATCCACCAGCTCGCCCGCGCACTCACTGCTTCATCGATGGTATGCCGTTCTTTCTGCATAATGATGTGTTCAGACCATAGGTGCCGACTACGGGAGGGGGGGGGGGGGAGGGCCTGAGCCCCCCTGAAATTTTCCGGGGGGGGGGGCAGAGCGGTAGAGACCCCCCCCACCGACAATGCCACAGGCTCTTTCTACCCTTCGTCGTTGAGGATTGTGAACGTCGGGGATTACTAAGAAACATATTAATTAGCGAAATAATTTCTAAATTCTAATAATTCATTTTTAACAAAAATAGACGTATGGTTTTAATTAGAAACTTGCCGAGCATCATTGAAAACCCCTAAGTCAGTCAATTTTAGAATGGCTCGAAGCACTCGAGAAGCACGAAGGATTCGGCTGCCTTTGTGCAGCAGGCACACAAGGGGCCGGCAATGCGAAAATGGGAATGATACTAAGAATCTCGTTTTTGCAGTGTTCTTTTCACCACGAGAATAAACTATGCATCACCGAAGCTCAGTCTCCGCCCAAATGTAGCGGTCCGGATGGGATGCCAAAGTTTCGGAACAAATTGTTATCTTATTCGAAGGTTATCAGCTATTTTCTGAAACTTTCAGTGGGACCTGGTCGTTTGCGTCATTCAACCCCATGTATTTGTGGGCTCCATCGACCCCCATTCTCCCAGTAAAAATGTGCCAAAAATTGCAATAACACTTTATCCTGAAACTTCATTTCGTCCGGACTACTAGCAGCACATTTGGCTGGAAGCTGAGAGTTGGGCATTGCAGAGTTTATTTTTCCGATTTAAAAACGCTACATTTCTTGGGGGGATATCCTGTATACTGAAAAGGGGGGGTTGAAGTGCTGCAACGGCTTTAGATTTTCATAAGGCACTAAAATATACAGCTGGATGAATGCAAACATCAATGCCCCAGGCTCATTTCACGGCGTATCCAAATGATGACGCTACCAGGTTAAATAATTCATTAATTAAAGCGCATAAAAACAGCTGAATCGAGGCATCAGCATCGCGAATTCCCCCCATACACGCACACACATTCCCGTATGTGGGTCTGTGGTGTATGGGGGAAGGTGGAATTCTACTCGAGTGAATTCTGATATTGTCTATTTACGGTGATAACTCAATCTACGAGCTCTAAGCATCCGAAAAAAAACCTAAATTCCACTAATGGGTAACTGATTTCCCTATTCAAACTCTATCAAAGATTGCGTTGAGCCCATCTTTCTGCACCTTGGAGCAGACACCGGGGGTGTCATCGGACGGTGTTTTCCAACAATAATTGCTGCGTTACGTCTTCTACACCCAAAGATTTTACATTTTGGTCAAAATACAATGCCCAACGTGCCTATAAAGAGAAATGATAGTAACGTTCAGAACCTCCACGCATTAGCTGTTTGCACTGGTCAAATCTTATGGAGGTGGTGGGGAGCCGAGGATGGCCTCCGAAGAGAAAATAGTGCCTGTGAAATTCTATTGCTGCGACTTTCCTAGGACGTCTTGTCACCTAGAACTGGCCTCTGGTTAGTGGCAAAAGCCCAACAAACCACGTGCCACGAACAACGAGCTCGTGCAAAAATCACTCGGGTGCCCGTTACAGAAGGTGGTCGATGCGATGAAAACTGTATCGCAGCGTCTCCTAATTGGCTTGGACAGAACCATGGAGAGAGGCTAGAGATAGGAATGTGCAAACGGCGACCAGGCAGTGCAAACCCTGCTGTCGCTCGGTTACCGCGCGTGAGTCGGAGGTGGGGGAGGTACTGCCGTCCCGATCCTGCACGTGCTGCCTGCTCGGCCGCGTAGAGGCACTGCGCACGCTGCTTCCCAACTCCCCATCGGGAAGGCGAGACCACTCGGAAAAGGTTCGAGAGTGTGTGGCAGAACGGACTTTGTTCAAACATTCATTTTTTTCCTTTTCCGAGGAGCGAGTGGAACGAGCTGCACAATGAAGTTGTGTCCATGGCCTCTACAGCACTGTTTTTCAATCGTGTGTTGAGCATTGATGTTCGAATTTATGCTTTTTCGTGTTTACATTTTCCCCTTTACAATTCGAGCTCGCGCTCACTGGTGCCAAACGACCCTATATTTGTAACTATATGAAAATGTTTCCCTCCTCGCAATAATGCCTCAAGGTGCTTCGAAGTAACCCAAAACAATAAATGAAGAGAAAAATGAAACCCGTTGGGAGGCGTTGTTGTCACCCGGAGTAAACGTGTGCTCTTGTTGTAGGTGACGAGCGATGGGAAGCCCAAGGTGATTGACCTGATGGACGCGACGGGGGCCGGCGACGTGGACACCAGCACGGTCGTCGAGGCCCAAGACGGGGAGATTGTGGGACTGACCGGGCGCAAGCTCAAGGTGCCTTCCTCTTTAGACTTCCCTCCTTGGACTTCCTGCTGGGCAGTCCACAAACGAGGCTGATGCCAAGGGGCGTAAAGGGCAGCTCGCGGGCCTAAACTGGGCTTTTTGCGAGTACTTAGAAACCCTCGAATATGAAATGGTCGTCTTTTGGGCCTCGAAGCCCTTTTCTATTTGGAGGTTTTTGAAAGCCCCGCAATTCCGGTAAAAAAGTTGTCTGTTTGAAAAGGAAAAAAAAAAGAGAATCTCGACGTCAGAATTGACGCTTTGACTAGCTCGACATTCGTACCGAGGAGGCGAGGCAACGAGTGGTGCTACTTGTCAGGCAGAGTGATACAGCCCCACAAACGTTGGATAGTCTGGTGGAAACATTGCTGGGAGAATCGCGATCGATCCGAGCGCTGCACTCCATTTCACGATAACTTGGCAAACTGCGGAGGCTGCAGCCCCCGTGACCCAATAAGAGCGCCGGAGCAAGGCGCCTGACAACACTCCGTGGTCGAAGCCACTGGGGCTTCCTTACCGCCATAGCAAACAGTGCCATCCGCGATAAAAGCTAGCTCCATGTTTCTTTTTTCTTTTAACGGCGATTGAACTACCGCAATTCCATCTCCATTGAGAAGAATAAGGAAGAAATAATCGCAAATCTACGAGTTCAGTTATGTTTAAACCAAAAAAGTGACGCCACGTCCGTATCCACTCTTAATTTTTTTTCTCGTTGTAGCGCCGTGGCCGTTGGCAATCGCAGCCGTGTAATTGGCCGTTTCCACTCGGAACGTCGCACTCTGCCCTGGCATGAGCACCCGTCGCAGATCCACGGCTAAATTGAGCGTATGGTTGTCTCGTGAAGCGTTCCCGAAGTGCTTGCTACTCTAGCGGACGGAAATGTCGCTGCGGTGGACATTCGTCCGAAGCTGGTTGGTTTCGGAGCAGACGACTCTTGGCTAGCAGACAACAGCCAGTTCCTCTGGGCCTCGCCCTTTGCATTTGGCGTAGCGACACCAATGCCTCCGTCGGGTTACGTGCCTCACTCCGACGCTCTTATTGGGTCGCAGGACCCCAGCCTCCACAGTTCGCCAAGTTATCGTGAAGTATAGAAATGCTACAACAGCCCACTTCTGGGCCTTATTTTTTGTGGACAAGAAGCTATTCTTGTTACGCAGTTCCCATCAAACTATCGAGCACCTGGGGGCTCTATCGTTGCTTAGACTAAGACCAACAAAGCGTTTCTATGTTGTCACTCGACAGCCTCTTGTCTTCCCTGCCTTGGGACCAAAGATTCTGAGGCAGCAGCTTTTTGCACTTAGGATGCTCAATGCAGTGGCATAGCCAGGAAGGATTTTCATTTGACGGCGTCGTACACACGCTTCTTATATGGTCGGCTGCATTTCCAGGGGCGGGCTTCAGCCCCATAAGCTGCCCCCTGGCTATGCCCCGGACTAGATGTCGTCTGCGTGGTTGGAGGTTTGAACAGCGCCCACCTCAAACGGCCGTATTGCTGGCAGCCTGCACTGCATGGGGGGCGGCACTGGGGCAGGCTGCCCGAAATTACTGCTGCAGTCCCAGCCAAGGCTGCCTCTCATGCTTCTGTATCTGCTCTTACAGATACCGGACTCGTGGACCAACCCAACCGGAAAATACCACGTCGGTGTCAAGTGTGCTTACGAGATGTACCCCAAGTCACTCAAAGAACGTGTTCAAGTCAGGTTTTGTTCTTTTAGATTCTCAGAATTTATGCTACCAGTCTTTTAATCTGCTCTTCAGTTTGCTTTTCTGAGATCCCCATTTTTTTTTTTCACACTGTTCCCAACTCCAGCTTTCTGCGTTACCTTCTGCTAAGCTTATTTATTTGCTATATTTTCCCTAACCATATGAAATGCGAAGGCAAACTAAGCACGTCTGTTTACGCGTGTATACAATACGCTTTAATCTGTGGCATGTGCCTCCGTAATGTTTGATTTTAGCAAAAGGAGTCGGTTTGAATCTGAAAAGTATAGCAAAGTGTGTGAGCCATTCACAACTTGTCTTGTGGCCTCTATTTTTGCGCTATTTCGATTCCTCTGCAAGCCACAAGCCAGTCTGACCAAACTGCCGCTTTATTTTGGGAGACACAACCTCGATAACAGTGTTGCCGTCACAAACAACGAAATATCCGCCAGGCCAGTGTCACGAGATTCGTTTGGGTGCACAGCGGCGTTGGTCGTTCTTGGGGTGAAGAATGCACACCATCATTCTAGTTATTCTAGTGCAGCAAGCACAACTCGAGAGCCACCTCTGGGACCGGCTCTCTTGGTGACCGTGCTTATTGGGAAACTAGCACTTGAATTTTATAGCAATTTCTAATTTTCAGCCATGATTTACGACACTGGTTAGGTCATTTTCTGGTATCAGAATTGCACGGGGGAAGAGGGCACGCCCTCCTGAGGCTGTCGTGCACACCTAACATAATGTGACACCAGTTCAAAAGTCAATTTCTATCGACCTACCTGGTGTGATTTTCCGAAAAGTGTGACTGTCATGGCCTAGCCCATTCTTTCTATTTAAACCTGGGCCAGTCTGCTGTAAGAGAGGAACTTTTAGTGCGTCAAATGACTAAGAACCAATACTCGAGGCTCATAGATTCACGCGGAGAGAAAAAAAAAAAATTACTTCTGCGTCTTCATTGCTCCCGATTATTGGTTCAAGCAGGGTTTGTTCCATGAACTGCACCGAAGCACAGGGCCTTTAGTCAACGGAAGTCTAGGGAGGACTCTATATCCTCTTTTGGCTCCTTACCCGGAGGGCCAAGCCCCTCGGCTTTTGGTGGTGCTTCGACTGCTCGTGCACGCTCGAAACCGAGGTGGCTTCGCAACCCAGTTGGTCAGTCGGTTTTGCCGGCACATGTGATGAAGCCGGTGTCGTCTCTGCCTTTCGCACCGTGCTCGTAAAGACAGAGTCGCTCGGTCTCGAGAGGCAGGCGTCGCCAGAATGAGGTTGATCTTGCGACACTCTCACGGGACGGAGCGTGGGAAGAGGGCACGCCCTCCTGAGGCTGTCGTGCACACGCAGAAAAGCTACAAGGAGAGGGAGTGGTCCCCCCCGCACAACCTGGCCCTGGCCAAGGCCGCTCGGAAGCTCCAGCAGTTTGAAGCCGGCCATTCCGCAGCCCCCGTGAGTAGACCCGGCTGCACAAACAGCTCTCCTGAGGAAGCCTGATTCATACTGCCGAAGGAAACATCTTGGGCATGCGCGTAGCCGGAAATATTTTTCAGAGGTGAGGGGGGATGATGATGATGGATGGAGCTGGGTGTGACGATTGGGAAGGGAGGGAGAAATGGGGGTGTTGTGTGGAAACCCCTCCTGCCTACACCACTGGTCTTGGGCACGTGGCTCCAGTTTGGGGAAGGTCGATCTCGGGACAACGGAGACTAAAAGGAAGGGATTGGCGGCGAGCCCAATGGCGTCTGCCGGTTTCTGGCCCGGCGGACGTCCAATGCCGGTTGTCTCTGTGCAGCTGGGCCAGGAAGAGAAGCTGGAGAAGGAGGAACTGGAGACGCAGGTGGAGCTGCTCGGGGCACTCGAGAAGAAGTTCGAAGACCTGGGACCCGTCTACGACTGCGTGGTCTTTCACGACGGCAACCTGTGGAGGTGAGCTGGGAGACTGGCTCGCCACGCTTGGCGTTCCACTGCGTCCTTGCCATGGAATCTCGCGAAAATCGACCGGCTGTAGTCCGGCAACCGCGGGTCCAATATCCATCAATGACCCGCCCACTTACCGGCTACGTGCATTCTGTCCTTCATTTCTCGGATTCTAGGGAGTAGAATGTTTGACTGGAAGGGAGATTAAACTTTGCCCTCCTTGGCAGCGTTGCAACCCAATCTGGCGATGCAGCCCCGGTCAAGGGTTTGGTTACGCAGGGCCGTTGTGGACACGTCCGAGAAGGGGGACCTGGAAAGCTGCACCCTGCTGGGGACCTACAGGGAGACCCTCGAGTTTGCCACCCTGTCCAAAGAAGGTGAGCCTCCTGGAAACTACGTGTAAGAAAGTCCTTGCAGCTGGGAGCACCTGCATGCTGGAGTGGTAAGCATTAACGTCGAGCCTGCTATTCTCGTACTGCTGTAACCCAACTATCTGAAAATATCGGTTAAATGTGAAAGATTTCTTTGTCATGGAATGAACTCCCATAGGCACACCGCATTTACTCGTTGCTTGTCTCAAAAAAGCTTTCAGGAAGGACCTCGAATATCTCAAAATCTGCTCAGCAAAAAAAGAAAAAGCAAAAAAAAATGCAGGCAGCGCTCAACAAACAATGACCACGGTGGCCCGAACATTAGTTGGCAAAGAAGCGGTGGTCCAGAAAGGGGAAAAAAAGAAAGCTAGGTTCTGCATAATCGCGCTGGATAATCCGCAAAGCAGAACAAAAAAGAAAAATCCTGCATCATGCGTGCACTACGTGGGACTTTTTTTCCTCAGGGACCTTTGTTTTCTTAAATCCCCCACCTTCTTCAACCGTTTGGCTTTTGGTGCCCCTGTTTCATTCTTTTTTGTTTTTTATAAGTTCTTTCAGGTTTTATTTTCTTTTTTTTTGTGTGTGTGTTCTTGCCTTCAGGACTTGCCGTCTCATCTTATGACGTTGATAATTTGGTTGCGTTTTGCTCACCCCATGGTGCCAGCGTGTAAGTGTCGAGTTCATTAGCGTGTTTCATTCGCACAATGCGCAATCAGTGGAAGGAAAATTCTGTACCTCGCATGTCTGGACACTCCGCTTATCTAGAATTTTGAGTATGACTCGGAGTCAGGGCCGACCTCCCACCATCGAGCTCCCTGGGCGAACTCCGGCCATGGCACCCAACTTTTTGCTTTTTAAATGCCCATATTTACTAGGTACGACATCACATTGTTACTGAACAACAGGAGCGTTTTGTCGGCCGAGAACCGCATTCCAAAAACGACCGGCGATCGAGCACGTAGCGTCGTGTCGTGCTCTGCGTTCAAATAAACCAAAGGGATACAGAAATGGGCCGAAATCGCTGCTGAAGCCTAGCCGATTCTGGAAGGAGTGTGTTTGCATTTCATGCGGCGGTTATGTATAAGATGGCATAAGGAACGCACCCTCTCGAGACTTTTCTGGGGGGTGAACCTTTCCGAAATCCCTCTTCTCCCTGGTGCAAGCAGATCGGGTCACTTAGCGTATGCATGAAGGGCTTGCGCACAATGCGTGGAAAACGACAGAGCCATTTCGTTGGTGCACCTACGGCTCGGTGACGTGGTAAGACTACTGCACGTCAAGAACGGCGAAGGAACCGCAGCCCGTGTGCGTCCGTAGGTCTCAAAGCAGGAGCTTCCGAGGGCATTTAAAACGTTTGCCCGCAGGCCGACAGAGGTGCAGGGGTGGACAGTGGGGCTAGGGCATGCTTGGGTCGGTGCGCCACGAGGTTGTGTGTACGAATGGCCCAAGGTGGTTTAATAAACAGAAAGGTGGGGGGCAAACGAGCTGGTGATGGCTTAATTTAAAACAAAGCCCCGAGACTGGGGAAAAGACGAAGGACAACACAAGACAAAAACTCTCAAATTTGTTAGAATTAACGAACAAAAAGTTAGGGCACAAACGAGCTGGTGAATGTTTCACATAATTTAAGACAAAGTTTGTAATGAGCCATCCGCAGAGTGTTGCCACAAAGCGGTGTGAAGGGGGGACTCGGGTGGGTTGACGCGTGTCCCAGTGATGCACCCGCCGTCCCCCACTGCGCGGCACCCAAATTGGCCAAGGGGCACGTCGCTGGCAATCTTCACTTGCTAGGTGTTACGTGGGGTTGTGGCGCAATCCCGTGGCAGCGTTGCAAACTTTGACTCTGTGTGCTTTAACCAGTTCGAGGCCAGTGCATGTACCAGGGCACTAATGCTAACGCATAAAAAAAAAATTCAATAGGGGGCGCAGCGGCGCACTCCTGTTGATGGTGCCCCGTGCGACCGCTTAGGTCTCCCACCCCTAAGGCCGGTACTGCTTCGAGTTAACGAGAGTTTACTGTGTCTGGCGCCCCCTACGATCTGGTAGAAAACGCACAATGCCCACCCTGGCAAAGTAGTCTCATTTTAGCTGTTGTCAGTGGTTAGCTCGCGATATAGCTATTCTGAGCGATTTGTTGCGGGCCTGATTTTTGAAAACTTTTTTTGCAGACTCCCTAAATTATGCTGTCAACATCCACGACGATGGAAATTTGCTGGAAATAGTGGGCAATTCGTGTGAGTACTTCTTACAAGCTTTCTGCTTCGCAGAACAGGAGAGATTTGCATTGATGTGACCGTAACTGCCTCACTCGCGCGGCAAGAAGTGAGCGAGCAAGTCGGTTCCATCCACACACGACGATCTGGAGGCCGAGGAACAAACGAGACACCAGCCCCCAGTTCGTCCCTCAGCGTCCCGTCCGTGGCCTGAAAATGCTCGATGCAGCCCGGAGACGGCCAAGGCCCCGGCGAGCGAGACCTTGGCCGTCTCCAGAGTGAAGTGCTCCCAGGCTTTGAAGTTGAGCGTTGCTCCGGGCGTGGCACCCCGATGTTGCAGCGACGCACGGGACCCACGTGGCGTCCATAGCGGCGGCCTGCTTCCCGGACCGGCCCGAGCGCAACGGGGTGGCCCCGGGGGCCCAGCTGGTGTCCATCGGCATCGGGGACATCCGCCTGGGCTCCATGGAGACCGGCACTGCCCTGGTGCGCGCCGTGGTCAAGCTCCTCGAGACGGGTTGCCACGTCATCAACATGAGCTACGGCGAGCACGCCCACTGGCTCGGAGGGTACGCCCGGCGGTCCTGCCCTCTCATTCTCCTGGGCCGCGCAAAGTCTTGGGGAGAAAAGGGGTTTTTGTCTCGAAGCACAAACAAATGGTACCCTGCCCACATGTAGCGCAAGCAGGCACCCAAAGAATGAAGAGGCGGCGTAACTGCAAGACGGACTGCAACGACTGCAGAGTTGACCATAGGACGGTTCTGTACAACCTCCGAACTTTACCCGCGCTTACCACTTGAAATGAACTGCTTTGCCCTAGTGGCAGATGCATCGCACAGGGGTGGACATGATTTGGTGCAGCTCGGAAAGAAGATTCCCTCTATTCGCAGAAATTCTTGCGGGTGAAATTCGGCACATGTATATTGTTGAATTTTTTTATCGTTACTTTCTGTCAAGATCTGCACGTCTCCACTGTTTTTGTAAATTAAATTTTATATTTTACGAAGCTCTCCTCCGATGTACTTATACTATCATTTAAAGGGTAATTATTCCCCCGCGTTTTCGTACGTTGCAACATATTTTGAAAAGATATCCTTATTGAAATCCAAGTACCGGAATCCCCCCAAGATAGACAATTTTCCCCGCAATAAAAGTAAAGAAAAAGCCAAGAAAGTTGTAGAAGACCAGATTTTGTGGGTTAGATACTGCAAATTGTGGCAGCCCTGCCGATGGCAATAGAAGGGCCTATCAACCGGCGTGAGTCTTTACTGTTTGTTCTTGTCCATAACCAGAGCTAAGGCTCACTTGTTTGTTCGTCCGTTCTGCCTTTGTACGCTCCTATTGCCCCCTCCATCCGGAGGTTTGCACCCACGGCTTGTCTTCCACCTGGGCAGCACGGAGGAGAGGACGCCCTTGTTTTTCGGCACCCTGTTTGTCTTGCTTTGTTCACCTCCGGCTACTCTCGGTGCTGCTTTTATTTCTTGTGGCTCGAACGCGCTTTGGCGGCCTGCGCATTCTGCGCCGGATGAGTGAAGGAGGGTGTTGCTTTGCAGGCGTCTGTTGGAACTGCTTCACGAGGTTGTGGACAAGCACGGCGTGATCATGGTAAACAGTGCGGGCAACCACGGGCCCGCCCTGTCCACCGTCAATGCCCCCGGCACCATGCCCAGCTCCTCCATCATCGGTAAGTGAGCGAGGCGGCACGTCTCGAGACCCGCTCGTCGCACCGGGAGGCGCCGGTCTGTTTGTTTTGGCGTACGGGTTAGGAGTGGGCCTCCCGTGCCAGAACTGTGGCAGGTGTCATCCGCTTCCAAGAACAGAAAATGGCGTAACACAAAAACCTTTTTGTTTATCGTAAGTGTCGTTCTATTCTCAAACTAACGTATGCATTCTCAGGCGGAATCCTCGCACACGATGGTTGTTCCGGCGTTATTTCTCAAACGGCCTCGCAAACAGGCGTACATTTGCACACCCTCGAGCAAATGATTGAGCAGTGGGGGTAGTAAAGAGCTCGATCCCGTACCTCGGAGTCGCTAGGAGATGAAAGGATGGTTCATTATTCGATTGCATCGTTAGCAGGAGTGTTTGTTGATGCAGGAACGGAGAATGTCGCGACTGCCTTCGCTCGTTAGCCAAGAGTTTTGTTTGTTTGCACAACTGACGGGAGTCACTGGCCAGCGTGCAGTTGGTGTCACGCTAGCCGCCATTTGCGTTGTGCGGATGATTGTGTGTCCTTGTGAAGCGAGCGTGCTCTGCGTGCAGCGGTCGGAGCCTACGTGTCGCCAGAGATGATGCTCGTCGAGTACTCGCTGCGGGAGAAGATGCCCGGCCTGGGCTACACGTGGACCTCAAGGGGCCCCTCGTAAGTAGAGCAACTAACTGGCAGCGCTTTCCTTTTCCTTTGGTTGCCACATTGGCAGAGAAAGGCTCTCATACGCGGCGCTTTCGCACTTGCAGCCAAAATGCCGGGTTTGGGGCGGGACATATGTTTTGCTCCGCATTTGCAAATTGTAGATCTCACGCTAAAGTCTGTCGAGTAGGAAACTTTAGATCTTCAGACAATGTGTGTGCCACTTAGACGCGTGTAATTGCGTTCTCTTAATGGTGCAAGCGCTGTTTCGAGGCAGCCGTGTTCGAGGGAACAAGACGACAGCGCGTGCGCACATTTCCGAGGGATTTGGGAGATGCACGAGGCCTCGTGTCGTCGCACCCGTCACGTCTCCTGGGGCTCTGAGCTGGGCACTTGGCGAGAAGGTCCGAGATTCGTGACTGCCGCGATTGGCCAGGGACATGCAAGCGCGGCGCTGGCCAATCCCGACAGTCAGAAATCTCACCGACATTATCGCCGAGTGTCCAGCTTAGGAGCCCTGCAAGAGCAACGATTGCTTCTTCCACAATACTTGAACTAAGCAATTTGACATTATTGCAGCACTCTGTTCTGCAGGCGGAATATTACAGTTACTGTACTTGTGACCTGGGACACCGCACTGTCTAGGTCGTGGCAGTCTGGAGGGAGTTTGTTCGGAAAACAAATATGTGCATACAGTTGTACCTTTTGTGTACCGCAGGAAATGATCGGAGCTTTGAATGAGCCTTCAGTTTGCGTTAGAAGGTGGACATGAAGAGATATTTTTTGACAAAAAAAAAAATTTAAGAGAATAAATGAACGCGACGGGAAAATATTTCCCAACTATGTTACAAATGATGAGAATGTTTCAAAAAATGTATTTCTGAATAATGAGGGGCATATAGACTTCTAGATGGCACGCAAGTGTCTTCATTGAGTGTAAAATATTTCGGAATGTTTGGTGTGGAGTTGGGAAGCATTTAGACAGAATGGCTCTTTGACTGGCATTCAACTCAAGCCCGAGTCCTCCTTCAGTGAGGTATTTTGCTGGTGGACCCCCCTACACTGGCTGGGGGATTCACTGCCTACGATACTCGCCTGAAAGCCCAAGATCTCGAGAGCCACGTTGCTTCTTTCGGGCGACCACAGAGCTGAGGGAAATGCTCAGTCGGACGTCTCACGGCCTCCCGACTGCTTTTTCGGCTGAGTCGCACAAACAGCAATCGCCGTGCTCCATTCGGCCCTAAGCTGACAGTGCAGTGAGAGCTACGCAGACGCCAATCAGCTGCGGTGATGTCTCGTTAATATGGACGTCCCCATTCTCCCAAAAAATCATCCGTATGAGCGAGGCAAAAATGCGCGTATTTTCCCAGTTTGTTCCCGAAAATGGTGCCCCTATAGCGGGGTGTCCATATTAACGAGACAGGACTGTACCTCCCTTGCATCACCTGAACCCACCTCTGCATGTGGGTGGAAGTGCCCCCGCATGGTGTAAGGTACACATATATGGCTGCTCCATCTAGCACGTACCGCACTCAGCTTGGGTAAGAAGGAAATATACAGTAATTCCCCGTTGTAACGAAGCCAACAGGACGGCAAAGATCTATACAAGCGGTAATTTGATAAAAGGGATAGAGTAAAAGAAAACAGTGCCAGCAGCCTCGAAGGGGGACGGGAACGCTGCGGTACACTGCGACCGTATACAGTCCAACCCACTTATAACGAACAAGATAGTTCCGCGAAAAGTGGGACAGTGTACACCGCATATAACGTATGTCGCGGGAGTCGCGAAAATCCGCACTATAAGCGGTACCGCGCTATAACCAAAACATCCATTTTTCGGGCCAAAATGCATGCCATCGGACAACTTACCTTTGTAAAAGAATTTATTTTATGTTAGATGAAAAATAAAGCTTAGTTTGAGGAAAGTCTTTATTTCACCAGAATAGTACACTTCTCTCACGTGTGTCACACATTTTGAAAGAAATGAGCGACTTTTGCCTGGCGCAGCCTTTTAACGGCATCGTGGGTTGCGGACGGACGTTGCGAGCGTTCAGGATTGCTAACCCTAATCACTTTTCTCCGGCGATGAAAACGCTCGAAAATTCGCATCCTTTATACGGTACGCCATAGGTCGGCATTTTAGAGCCCCTTCATCCACCATCACATCACGAATAAAATCACGTCTCAAAATTCGTTCGCATTCACGTCACAAGGTACAGTATAGACCAATTACAACGTAACCGCTTATAGTGCAGGATCGGGTATAACGCGGTTTTTTTAAACCACCGGTTCGCCTCCCATAGAACTCCATGTAATTACATACCGCTTAAAATGCAGGCGCGCGAAGGGAAATACTGGTTATAGTGCGGTTTCTGGAACTGCGCGCCGACCGACCAGCGCAGCGAGCACGCTTCCCTGTGCGACACTAGATAACGGCGCAGGCGGCACTCGCGGGGCAAGCAGGTTGCTCGAAGAAGCGGGGAGAAACGAAGAGAGAGGCTTCAGTTGCCATAGCGACGGAAGGACGCACGCACGTGTCGTTCACGTGCGTGCGTCGCCCCGCAACCGCAACGACAGGCCAATCGCAGGTCGAGGAGAAGTGTTCGCGCGCGTTGCATGCCGGTCGCGGGCCAGCTACTTCTATCCGGAAACATGGCGTCGGTTGTGATCGTCGACGTAGACGGCGTGGTTCGTTCCGCGTAAATCGTTCCGCGTAAATTGTTTCGCGTAAAAGCGCTATCCTTGACTGAATTTTCGCTGTGTGTCGCTATGATAACCCAGCACGTACTAGAAGGGAAGATCCACCTACTCGTGCGGCGATGTCGTGGCGGCACTCTCAAGACGGCAGAAACGCCTGTGTCGTCGTGTTTGTTTACTTCGACTACAGTGGTGCTTTCTAAGCATTTGTGTTTTCGAACATCGCCCGGATTTCTTATTTGGAGCATTTTATGCCTGTGCTCAAGTTAAAGGTATTACTGGCGCGTACCATATAAAGAATCGAATTTTCACGCATTTTCATCACCGGAGAAAACTGATTAGGGTTAGCAATCCTGAACGCTAGCAACGTCCGTCCGCAACCCGCCACGCCGTTAAAAGGCTGCGCCAGGCAAAAGTCGCTCATATCTTTCAAAATGTGTGACACACTTGAGAGAGAAGTGTACTAGTCTGGTGAAATAAAGACTTTCCTAAAATTAAGCTTTATTTTTCATCTAATATAAAATAAATTTGTTTTATAAAAGTAAGTTGTCTCATGGCGTGTATTTTGGCCTGAAAAATTTATGTTTTGGTTATAACGCGGTACCGCTTATAGTGCGGATTTTCGCAACTCCCGCGACATACGTTATATGCTGTCTACACTATACTCCGACCTCCCAAAGTCACAGCCCTTCAAATCCCGGCGTTCAACCGCGCCAAAACTTCATCCCCTTCACATCATGGCTTTCAAACTCCGCCGAGAATTCATCCCCTTCACATCACGGCATCCAACCGTGCCAAGAATTCATCCCCTTCACATCACGGCGTCCAACCGTGCCAAGAATTCATCTCCATCACATCACCGCCGCAGTCATTCACCGTCTCGTCACCAATTCCCGAAGTCATTCACCATCACCACGAATTCATCAAAATTCACCATCGTGAATTCATCGGAATTCACCATCACATCATGAATTCATCCGAATTCACTATTACTTCACGAATTCATCCGAATTCACCATCACTTTACAAAGTTATTCACCATCACCGTCAACACGAATTCTCCGGAATTCACCATCACATCATGAATTCCGCATAATTCACGAAGTCATTCAGGTTCATTCTGACTAAATTCGATTTCACGGCTGGTAGCCCTTCACGAGTTCGCACTTCTTGCGGAATAGGACTGTGGCGCCTTTTTGTGTCGGCCACTTGAATCCAGGACCTGACTCCGTCAGGGAAGTGGGGTCTTTTAAGCGCGCGAAACACAAACCATATTGATAGAGCGCCAAGCCAGCCAATGCCGCACTGCGATCGTGCCACGTGAATGTGCTCCGCACGCCGCCACGCGGAACCGGCCGGTCACGTGATATAGTCTCTGCGCCGGATTAGGTGCGCCTGCTCGTGACGTCGGCTTCGACGAAACGGCGCCTGCTGCTACTAGTGCCCGCGGACAGTGCGGCTGCGCCACGCACGACTCACGAGCAAAACGGCACAGCGAGAGCCTTCAGGGATTCTGGACCATATGCCTCGAGACACGGAAGTACAAGGTCGGCAAGGAGCTCAATTGATTCACGAGGAACCGTTCAGAACAACGGCAGAATTAAATGTCAAGTGCCAAAGAAAACGACTAGCCTCCCCCCCCTCCGTCCCCTTCATTGCCACTGCCACCGCACTTTCTTTGCAAACAGCTGTTACTACAAAAGTGCCCGACAAAGGGCCACCGCGCTGAGGCGCGCACGGCTACGCAGCGAGACTGGTGCCCAAACCGCTAAAGTCAAATGGGTTCCTGTGGTTTGCGGTGAAGAATGCAAACAACCAGCAAGCAAGCGAGCACCTGCGTAGCATGTTTTCTTCCTATTCTGAGTTCATAACCGTATTCACTATCACGTCGAGAATTGAGTTCACGGTATTACTTCCCATCACGAATCTATCGAGTTCACGAGCCACGCACATCACAAATTCATCGTGTTCACGAGCCATTCACCATCACGTCACGAATTCATTCAGTCATTCACATCACAATGAATTCTTTTCACTTCACGAAGTCCTTCATAATCACAACACATCATGAGTTCTTTCAAATTTACAAAGTCATTCACCATCACATCACGACTTCATTCAACATCACATCACAAATTCATTCAAATTCACAAAGTTATTCACCATCACATTGCGACTTCATTCACCATCACATCACAAACTCATTCAAATTCACAAAGTCACTCACCATCGCATCACGACTTCATTCACATCACATCGCGAATTCATTCGACTTCACGACTTCATTCACCATCACATCACAAATTCATTCAAAT